TGCGTTCCCATATATATCTTCCCATTTCCCATAGAAGTAAGTATAACGGTGGCCCCGATCTTTGAATGTTTTTGACAAAACGTAAATTGCATCTCGTTGATTCCACATGCTCCCGGCTCCCACCGGTCCCTACAGAGGGTGATGTGACAGTGCGCCGGTCCCGACGTCGCACTGCACTGGCCCCGGGGCGAGGGGTCGTCGGTCGCAGTGCACTGAGCCGTCGGTACCGGTGGCGAGTCGTCCGGCCCTTGAGGAAGCCGGACGTCCACATTTTCGTCCACACGCACTTCGGTTGGGACACTGTGCTGGATGGTGTCCGCTATGTGCAGGCGGTGGTGTGCTGAAAACAATGGTCAGTGGTGGCAGGTGGTGCGAAGTGACCGGTAGGAGGCAAATTGGATGATGGTTTTCAGAGACTTGAAGGATCAGTTTCAATGAGGATATGAGGATATGTAATGGTCTTAGAGTGCAGGTTGTTCTATGTCCTGGGTTCCTTCCATGTTTTGGGTTGCATTTTCCCCACATCCCGCGAGCTCTTGGGCTTCTTCAAACATAGGAAACAGTACGCTGCCGTGCGCTTTGGAGCTTGGGTGCTGCTGCCGTTGCAGGGCGCTGGAGCTTGGGTAGAACGGGCCGCTGCAGGGTGCCAGCCTGGAGCCTGGGCGCGGTCCGCAGCGTGCTGCTGCCCACAAATGTCTTTTGCATGTGTTTTGCCATTTGGGGTCCATGCTGGCGTAATTCTAGAACATTCTAGAACCTTGTTTCGACTCCGCCTCGGAAGGTGATTCGCTACGGGATGGTACGAGCTTGCTGTAGAGCCAGCTCATTCATATTGATGAACAAACTCCGGCGGTTTTGAAGGAACGGTCGATCCATGTACTTTCTTCCCATGCAGTGCGAGAACGTGCACGGCCGTGCTTTGTAGAGTGAATCAACGGGCATTCTCTTTCTCAGCATGTAGATCTTCTCAGACCGTCAAGCATTGGCTGCATTTAAGGAACTCTATCCAGTGGCAATATGGTGTTCCCAACCTAGCCAAAAACTGTGCTGGGATGTTTTGTGGGCCCTGAATAGTTACAGTAAGTGGATGATGAGGTGTTTTCCAACACCTGACCTATTTGATCTTGCCAGGTGTAAACGGCAAGGTCTGCTAAAGTGCCAGTGGTTCCAGTACTGCAAGCAGCGTTTTTGTTTGCAGTTGTTGCATGTGGGCCATTTTCATCAACAAATGTAGCCAGAGAGATGCCAAGGAAGAGACTCACTCCAAGGAAAGGTGTAGCCCTTTTGGCGTCCTGATTGCCTGGTGAGCACAGTGAGCACACCTGGTGTTCGCAGACTAGTGAGGGATCAATCATCAAGTGACGACTTGCTATGTTGAGAGAGAGAGAGAGAGAAGAGAGAAACAACAGGACATAACAGACAATCCACTCCTGGATTTGGGTGGTATAGTGTTGCATGGAAAGTTTAGAACATCCATGTGGTGTTGAGCGGAACATCTTCGGAAAGTGATCAGCACATCAAAAAACATGCTGACCAGCGCATTGACAAACCAGATTGCACAAGAGACTGTGGCAAGAACGAAACATATTGGTTAACAAACCAGTTTGTTTAAACGAGGTAACCGATACCATTGACGGTCAAATGTTTGCACCCCATTGGCAACCGTAAACCGATCAAGGTTGTATATAGTTTGATCTTTTGGGGGGTATGTGATGTGCTTGTTTTGGGCAGTGCAGTTCATCAGTTTGTACCATACATATCCATACATGGAGTGTTTGGGTGGCTTTTCACCCTACCGTTCGTTGTTTTGCTTGTCACCTCGGCGTCGACGCAGCCCTCGCTCGGCGGGCGCACCGCACCAGGCCGCCTTGGGATATCCTCACGAGAGGGAAATGAGGCGTGAAACGGAGCGCGGGAGCGTCGGAGCGTCGGTTGGTGTATTGAAACGGCGAGACACGGACTCCAAAGACGAACCGTGGCAACGGACTCCATCAAACGCAAAGATCCATTGGTTTTTTTGGTCTTCCTCAATTAGTAATGATACAAACCCCACATATATTTTGAGGCATTGATGGGCAAAGTAGGGGATTCATCGCTTGGTTTCTGAGGCTTTGACAGCAATAATGATCACTGACAGCGGTCGGTCGGTCGGTAGTTGGGCGCCGGCCCACGACATTTCTCCCTGCAAAATCTGTTGCTATAGTGTGTTTTCCACTGCTTTGGACATAAATCATGAGCGGATTGTAAGGTGCCCGAATAAGCCTAACGCCTTTGCGGACTTCATTGCCGAAAACATGTGTGCCCAGTGCCCAAGTCTAACTTATTGCAACACCCAAATCCATCCAAATCCCATTGTCCGTCCCAAAGACCTCTCGGCTTCGCACTTCCTTTTTCAGCGCCGAGGTGGTTGAGCATGGCTAATGGCGACTTCGGTGCTGCGCCACTGTTGCTCTGGTCCTCCTCCTCGGGCTTCAGCAAGAGGTCCAGGTGGGGACCGAGGTCGAGAGATCGATGAGGAGCTTTGCTCTTGAAGAGTCCCCTCAAAAGGGCCACTCACCTTACCCTTGAACATCGGAGCGTATACCGTATACTCATGTATGCGTCCTAAAATCAACATGACCCAACGTGGATGGCATGGGCACGATTTCGGAGGACCATTTTCCAAATACCAAACAGGTGGTTTTCCACTTCCATGATCATTATGATTCCACTGAGACATTAAATGAGTTGAATAGTGATTTATGTGTTGGCTGTTTCTTCGTCAATTCTTTGGTGTGACACCGTCAGATATGAGCGAACGGCACGTTCCACTTGAAGTACCGGCATGAAACAAGAAAGGAACCGCTTCCCAGCCCAAGCCCGCCGTCCTGCCGTCCATGTAAAAAAATAACTGATCCTGAACATTGAGGAACAGACCCAGACCATCAGATCATCATGTATGGGCTAGTTACAGATATTTACCCCATGAAACTGACTCACCATGTCATCATAACTCTTCCATCTGGGTCGGTCGTCCCAAAACGCGCCTCCAGCGCCGACGTAGGTGTCGATGGTCTGCCTACTATGAACATTATGGCCGGAAGCCTGAAAAGGCGCCGTTCTTCGATCCGGCGCGGCCAGCGTCGTGTCAGCGTCATGTCTCGAAGAAATTGCAGTTCATGACACGTTAGAACACCAAAGAACACCTGGAGAGGAATCCCTGAAACGGTGGTAGTCAGCAAAAGCATTGTTGGCTGTGTCAGCAAAACCTGGTTTCGCATCGGACATGTGGTTCCCTAAACCCACTTTTTTGGACGTCTTCGAATCCGAATCGGGTTGCAGGTCCTCGAATTGGCGAGCTATGCCGCCAGAGGCGTCAAGAAGACCAAACCTGAGGCGAGTCGTGGGGGAAGAGTCGTGGGGCGAAGACGATTAGGTGTCCAGGACCCAGGATGGAGAAAAGAGACAGACCCTTCGTGCCGTGGGCTCTATAGGTTTTCATGGGTCTTTCCTTCTCTCGGAAATTCTCGGAATATTCTTGAGGGGTCTCCTGACTGTATATGTGTTCAAACACATAATTCAATATGGATCGAACTACCCCAGAAGTAGTTGGACCCACTTCACATCCCCACTGTCAGTGTCTCAAAAATATGGCTCCAGTAAAGGTGCGTAATTGAGACCCAGAAAAGCGTAATCTAGTTTTCCTCATCAGTCTTTAAGGGTGCGGTGTTTAAAGATTCTTTTGTAAGGGTGTTTCAATCCCAATGCTTGGGCAGTCTAGAGTCTAGAATGATTTCACCTTGAAGGTGATCATTATTGTTTGCTTGCTTTGCATATATGATGTGTTTGTTCATGTTTTGTTTCTTTTTGTCCATCGCCTTGACGTTTTGATGTTTACAGGTGCTCGTATTTTTGAGGGTTGATTTGGTACTCGCAGAACATTTGCCTAGCTGGCTAGCCGCCATCTCCCAGGCCACGGAGTGTTTGCCAGACTTTTCGTTCTGGTAGAAAAAATGCGCTGCGTGTCCCACGCTTCTTGGTCCATGAGCTCCCAAATAGCTTACATCCCATCAGGTCCCATCAAGGTTGAGTGGGTTTGAGCGTGAGAATCTGGTGCGCTCGGTTCCGTTGCTCATGTGTCGGTAGCAAGGCCAACGAGCCGGACTCGCTCAACCAGGACTTTCCACATGTTTTAGATACCACCAATTGATGCCAATTCCCACTTGTTCAAGATACATGTAGAGCACGGTTCAGCATCAACATGTAGAGCTAGAGAGGATCGGATCCCCTTGTTGATCGCTGCTCACCCTCGTGGTGCTTCGGATCGTCACCGAGCCGGCCAGTGACGCCATCTGCTCTCCCCGAGCCCAGCGAGAACAAAGAAGTTTGGAGGTACTTTGCCCACAGTGAATGAATTGAAATTTAAGGCAAATCAGGTAAATGCAAGGTAAGCAACATCTGGAGGTAGGGGTGCGTTAGAGGTTTGGAGGCAAGCCTATAGAGGTTTGTGGGATTGGTTGCTGCCCAGCACGTATGGTAGGCCTTGTTGGCGACGTATGTTAGGCCTTGTGTTTTCTGTTTTATTCGGTCTCCCCGCTCATCGACTTTCGTGATCAGAGCGCTAAACACCGCGAGCCATTTGGGATGTCAGTCTACAACACATGGAACTTTTGAGAGAGCCAGGTCTGAAAAATTGAAACTGTCCGTGCACCACGTTTAGGATTGATGTGATTCCGATAAACCTCAGAGCCAACCACCAAGACTAAATGATATATATATATATATGTTAATGTAATATACTTAATGTGTGTTTATTCAACTGATTCCTCCACACCTACTTTCTAAGCAGCTCTTGAACCTTGCAAACTTCTACATCAACATCTTCCAACTGATCTCTTCTTTGTGTCCTTAGATCAGAGTTACAGGTGACACGGACACAGTCCCAAAGCACTTCTTTTTGTTGACTCAGCTCTTGCCCCCCCAACAAAAAACACAGCTTGACACTCAGTAGCAATTGACTCGCTGTTTTGAACCAACCCGTCCTCTGCCGGGCGCCCTTCCGCGTGGCGCCCTGCCGTGGGCTCACTCACCGTGGTCACCCGCTCCGCCCCATGCGGAGCCCATGGCGGAGACCTGGTCCGAGGCGCCGGACTGGCAGGACCGGTCGCGAGCACCGGGAGTGAGACATAGATGGTGAAAGCATGTGAAAGCCTAAATGAAGTTATTATAAGTATACTATAAGTTTATATCGTATATATGGGACGACGGTTTAAATGGGCTTCACCGCTTCACCCGATTGTGAGTCGTGAGAGACTTTTTGAGTCGTGAGAGGGCGGAGGTGCAAGAAACGTTTTGGTGTGTCCATGCTGACAAGGTCCTTGCACCTTTGCTCGTCACGGGTCTTGAGAGTTTGGGGTGCTGCTACTCTCTCTAGGACTCTAGGCGTTTGGGGGGTTGAGAGGTGATAGATGAGCTTGATAAAGAGTTGATTGCTTCTGAATGGGTGGATCTTCGTCGCTTCGCGTGAAACGCTGGTTTCCGCGTTTTCGTCCTGTTGATATTTTCGGCAGATGCAGAAAACCTTGGACTCGGACACCCCCGACATGGCCGAGTGTCCACCTTGGGATTGATGGATCTTTGGTTCTTCTCGCTCTTGTTGGGGGCGATGGTCAGGATGCCGGTGACATCCGGTGACATCCGGTGACATCCGGTTGGTCAGGATGGGCAAGTCGATTGGTTGGACCTCTCGATCCGAAGACGTGCAGTCGGAACCGACCAGGACCGAGGTCCCAGGACCATAGTTCCAATAACTCTGGCGAACTCCAAACCGCCCGCAGAGGATTCTTTTTGGAGAAGCAAGATGTCTTTTGTGTGCTTAGTCCAAATAGAGCAACATCATCAAATTTGCCAAGGTCTGAAACAACCCGAACGTGATCCCAGGACCTTCCAATGGTCGGCTCTCTTGACCTGAGACACGTGTCTGGATCGAACTGCGCAGGAATCCGAACTGCGCCAATCCCGCTGTGCCAGCCCCTGTCGTTGGAAGAAAGTGAAAAACAAATTTGGGCTACAAGGACAACTGCTCATGACAGCTCGAGCCCGCCTTCGTGGGTCACTTGCGCCCAGCGACTGTTATTGTTGTTGTTGGTGGTGGTGGTGGCGGTGGTGGGTGGTGGTTGGCTTCTTTGTTGTTGTTTGTTTGTTGATTTGTTCTTGTTTGTGTTTGTTTTTGTTTGAAAGTTGAAAGTGGCTTGGGTGGAGAGGTGTGTTGACCCCGAAAGTCCCTTCCGGTCAAAAACATGGAACTGGTCCTTGGATTGGAATTTGTTTTGATTTGCCAGCTGTGTAGATGGAACAGTTCATGCCCCCGAACGTATCCAATGCATCCCCTTACCCCGTGTATGTATTGGTGGGTCAACTCATACATAACAAGACAAACCCATGCTGGAAACATTTGGGACGTTTACAATATGTCACAATCATTATAGTGAGTGCGAACAGTGAACATGTTGTGTCTGGATTGTCATATTGTCATGCTCATAAGTAGCCGGGCAAAACGAGTCTATATTATATATATATATGTATCCTTATTTATAATGTGTGTTTCCAGTATGTAAGACTATATGCATGTACTGTATTTTTTTTCTGAAGCAGCCGTCTTGAACGGGTTCAGAGAGTCACGGGTCGCTGCTTTTGACCCGATGTTTACGGATGTCTACACAGTTTTTTTGACCTTCAGGAGCCGAAGATCGGGAGGGCAAAGGCGCAGCGGCGCGGCGAGGACGCAGCACGAAGTGTGGATCGGTGGACGGTTTGGTTTGGTTTTTTTCCCCGGCCGTGGCAGGAGAGACAGTTCTGGATGGAGCCAATTCATCCACATGTTTGGTTCCAAAAGGATTGGATTTACAGTGGAAACATGTGGAAACCATATTGCACGAAGTGTAGTCAGGATGAGAGTTTCATTGGAGGTGAGGTTGGTTTTGGTGAGCGGTACAAGTGCAAGCCTCGGTTGTGACGTTGATGAATCCTGTGGGAGGGTATTGGAGTTTGGGTCCCACCAGGGCACATTTCGCCAACACTGGCCAAACAGACTTTTTCAAAAGCTTACATCACACCTTATTAACGGGTGCCCAATGGGAGCCTATAGGTAGTGTGGGGTAGTCCATTGGAACCCCTTGGATGGTCCTTATAGGTTTTTGGATCCAATGAACCACTTAGTCTATCACTACGGGCGCCCGTGTTTGTTCCTGATTCGCAAGCGCGATGCGACAGTTGTGGTTGTGACATCCGCACGGTTCGGAAGGATCCTCTTCGATGACTGGTGACTCAGTCCGTGACTCCAACTTTTTGTACTGGCTCTCTCAACTCTGTGCTGCCCAAAAATAGGCATTCATGACCAGATTCAATCAGACATGTTGAGATATGGCCAGGCTCTTCATGAATTGACCTTCCCCCCGATTTCCATGTTCTGACCACGGTCAGACGTCCGCAGATGCGAAAGCTGCGGAGCAAACGTTCGGTGTGTGGAAACACCCCTCACCGTTTAAGCATCACCGGCTGAACCTCCAGCCACGGAAGCAACAAATTCCCTTTTTTTTTTTTCGGAAGTGGATTAGGCAGGTCAATGTTCATTGGTTTTGTGTAGTTGGTCATTTAACCCGCAGACACCCTGCGAGAGGTAGGGGAGCTAAGCACTTGAGAAGAGCATTGTTTCCTTCCTTTGGGCGGGCATGTATGTGGTTTGACGATCATTGTCGATGGTCATTTCACCGGTCAGTGAAGTTTCGTGTTTATTAACAAGGACAGGGCGCCTCATGCCTCATGCCCTGTTTTCTCAGCAGGTTTTGGTGTGGTTCTCCCACTTCCTGAAGTCTCCACAGGCAAAAAGATTGTTGACGCCCTTTGTCAGATGGAGCTACGCGAAGCTGATCAAGGTGGGGAGATCGATTTTTGTAAGTGTTTTAAATCGTTTTAAATCGCCATGCGGCAGATTCTACGGCAGGGTTTGGGAGTGCTCTTGGTCATGGTTGAAGTTGAGACATCACATGGGTCACGGTGGCATGAATGCTAGAAGCGTCAAACTACGGTTTGTTGAGGCTGTGGTTGGTAGCTGAGAGTTGCGCTCAGAATCAAACCGATCAAGCCCTGACAAAATGTTCAAAAATGAGGGGCTGATGTGGGAAGACGCTTACAAATCACCCGATTAGACCAATTGAACAGAGCCACCACGCCAGTGTCCAAAGTCCTGCAAGTAACGTCAGTTCATTGTCATCCGATTGGTTGCCATTCCCTCGGGGTTGTGGTCAGAATCTCAAGACACCTGGAGTGTTGTGTGTTACTTCTTCGGATAGACGGAGGTTGTACTGGTCATGGCTCGTGGGGATCCCTCTTTTTGTTGAGTAGTGCTGAAAAAGTGTTCTTGAGGTGATTGGGATGACACTGCTGGGCAGATATAGTAATGAGACCTACTCCTTTGGGGCTCTAAATTCTCATTCCACATTCAAAGGCGATTTGCAGCCAGGTGCTGACTCATATGACATGTAAGCTGTAAGCAGTGTCGTGATGTTCCCACAAGTGCCGTTGCTGGGCCCAAGAAAGGCTCAGGTACCCAGTATTTATATATAATTAATTATAGTTATATCAAATTCTATATATTATAGGATTTAGATGTACCGTAGCCTCAAAGACCTGCAACATGAATTCTTGTCGACCCGGTCTTTTGGTCTAAAATCCTTAGTAAAGCAATGGATTGGCACAGACCATTAAAACAATGGGTGGTTTTAATACCAGGCTTTATCACCCGAATCTCCCGTCTGAAAGACGTTGGACATTCAAGAGGGACTCTGATTTCGAGGTGTTGCCACCTCATTTTGGTGTCCCGTCAAAGCACATGGATTGCTCAAAAGCAGTATCACCTCATATCTCATGGCAATGTTCCCTTTATCACGTAAACAATATGAAGAGTGCTAGTGAGAATGCTGATTTTGAGAGATACCCACCTACTATGCTGATCTCAAGCCATACCCCTGGCTTTAAAGTGTATTTGAAGGACTCGATGCAAGTTTCATGTCTTTGCACAGCGCAGCAATCCATATCGGGTATCGTAGCGCAGTTTGTAGCAAAAAAACATAGCACTAACAGGCGTGTGTCGATTGCGTCATGCCTTTTCATGTAAGTCAATTGCGTCAATCAATGACCTAAGAATACATTGGATAAGTTGGCCAGATTTCAGGGACGCCAAGGGCGTGATTCCTTCGGCCCCAAACCATGCGATCCTTCGGGGCGAAGGTCGTGGCTCGAACTACGAGCTTTGGAAAGCTGCCAAAGATGGTCAAGGGCCAAGTGGACACAAGTGGAAACCCACGTGAAGCACGAAGCATTTGGTACGCGGGACCATGTGTAGAAAGTTGATGTCTTTTAAATTCTATTAGTCTATCTCAAAATATTGTAAAATTATGTTCTAGCCACTGTTTTAGCCACTTGAAGGCTAAAATAACTAATGTTTGTGTTCCGCTTGCCTGGCACTAGACATTGACATGGCTTGTCATCATTATGCTTGCTCCGTGCCGCTTGGCGCTTGTTTTTTGATGCATTGCGCTTGGCGCTTGCCCCAGAGATGCTCATCTCAAAGAGTCTCAAACAATTGTTTGTGACATTGTCGACGAAACACATCTCCTCACCATCTGAAGCAATCCTTTGACCATGGGACCATGGTGACACCCTCAAGACTTGTCACAGCAACGGCCATTCGTTCGTGCACAGCGTTTGCAGTTGAGGCCATTTCGGAGAACTCGAGCGTCTCATTAAGGCTGACCGACCGGGCCAGATTTGGGCGATCCGGAAGAGACCTGGGTGACTTTTTGGACTCTTAAGCATGGCAGTAGGCCATGCTTCAGGTTGATGAGGATGCACAGCAAGATTCCTGCAATGGCCTTATTTATAGGCGGATTTAGATATCAGTAATGCCCGCCATAAGCACCAATGTTTTCTAGCCACACAACCAGAAGAACTGTCTTGAAAAGCCACTCGTGTTGAATGTGAAGCTTTTGATTTACGGTGAAGTCTTATTCTCGTTCAGAAGCTCCACCTACTGACCCAACAGCAAAGTTCCTCAGCTTGCCCCCTTGCCTTTGCAGGCGATTGCAGGCGATCCTTGTGGAAAACTCACCAAAACCGTTCAAAACCGTCTTGACATTGAACCCAACCCCCGCCCCAAACCGGGTCGACGTGCCGAAGGCCCGAAGGCAACGACCCGGTCGACGGCCGATGGAACCACCTTCGCGGTCGTTGAACGAGGCAGGAAAAGCCGATGTGAACTTCGAGGTCCAGCCCGATGACCTGGAAGAGGAGTCAGCTGAGCTGTGAAAATGCTGCGAAAACCGGCCAATTCACAAACCAGATCAGTTGCTATTCCGTGAGTTTCCGTGAGTTCTGTTTTGAAGAGAATGATTTTTAGTACCAAAATGTACTTTACCGAGGACCCTGTTGTAGCTCTAGAAATCAGCTTTGGGGTCAAAACGACAGATGAATTGGCCGTTCTCATTCCTGTACTACTGGAGCTTGGGCGAAGGGAGCCAATTGTCCTCAAGAGTTACCGCCATTTCAAAGCAGTTCTGGTTCTTGGAAATTCTTTGAATTAAGTTAGTAGTTCAACAGATATCATCAGCAACTAGAGGTCCGGTCGGGTTTCTTATTGTCTCCTGTCTTGAACCACTGGTGGCCTGCATAGTGGAATGGTGTGGTGGTTTTACCCTGGGAGCTCGGGCCATCTGATCCAACAGAGTTGGGTTGCTGCAGAGCACCATTCCCTGGTTTGCTTGATGTTTTTTTGTTCATTTTCCCGAAACAAAATGTAAATCCCCAACCCTCCCAGGACTTTGGTGGTGGTGTGTCCCTCTTTTTCACCTCAGTGTCTTCTAGACTTGGAGGGTAGGCCTGTATTCTCAGACGAAGCCATTTGCAGTTGATGTGTCTGATTTATGACCCCAGTAGAAAGACTATGTAGATAAGACACTCCAAATATGGAATGAAGACAAATGAAGCCAATTTGTGGTAAGACGAACAACAGATGATTCAATGTATTTCTGCTCGCTGCGTTCTTCGATGTTTTTCTCTAGCCAAGTGGTTGTGGGTTCTCTGCGGCTTGTTGTGATCATCCACAGGATGCGCTCCGTGGTCAAGCAGGCACAGTTTTCAACCACAGCCTGACCAAGTAGTAGGCACCTACTCCTCTTCCCTTCCCTGGCTTTAGTAGGAAGTGCGTCTAAGCCACCAGGGAGGCGAAGATGCTTGGCTTCTCCCTCGCGCGGGCCACGGTCGCGCCCACGGCCGGAAGGAGGATACCTTGTGGTACAAGAACCGGAAGGTCAGTTCCAAGGCCTGGAGACGGCGCTCGCTGGCGGCGCCATGCGGTCTGTGAGGTTCGAACGGTTCGTGTTAGACGAAGCCGCGAGGTCAACGAGTGTGGGTGGTGGCCTGAGAAGCGCAGCCGTGGAGGTTTATGTTCATTTTGGGGAGAGATCTTAGGATGCACTCCTGCTTCATCAGAAGAGTAATTGTCCCTTTGCTGCTGCTGGTGTGGATGTTTCCAATCTTACAGATAGACTTGGAGGCCACTGCCCATCGTCGTCTCCACAAAGACCAGCCCTTCACTCACGGCGCAGGCGCTCCATGCAGCTGCCATGTGCCACAAGGATGAGGCCAGAGCAGTGGGAGAGGAGGGACTTGGGCGAGCAGCTGGATGCTGTTCGATGTGCTTGTATAGCTGGCTCATTAAGCATGCCACACTCATCCCAAGCTCGAAGGGGCCCGAAGTTCGGCCTCAGGTTCTCGGCGATCCTGGCCACAGATGAGGGATGAGTGAGTCGCTAGCTCGCATTCGCCTCCAGCTTTGGCTTCTCACGCCAACATGACAGAAACAAGGGCCAATTCCTTCTTCCGCCTTGAGCCTCAGGGACAGGGACAGCATGCCGCCACCCAAGCGGCACCGAAGACCTGCCCCGCCTCGCAGGCCTACGACTGTGTGAAAGCTTTGATCGTCTACAAAGCGAAAGTTCAAGACAAGGCCGGGCTGGGCACATCTGGCCGGGCGATCTATGCTTGAATGCTTTCTTTGGAGAACTCTTTGTTTGCGGTTAGAGTGCTATGAAACCATATGAAACCTATATATTTATTTGCCACTTCCATCCTTCAATTGCTTGAGGTGACGTTTGTTATCATTGTCATGTGACATTTGTGATCATCGTCTCGTTTGCTGCTTCCAACAATGGGTCAAGTCATGCGTATAAATACGGTCACATCGGAAAACAACATCTCAGACCACCAAAACCTATCAAAACCTCATCCTTCTCCGCAGCTCATCTACCATGAAGCCATCGCCTTGTACGCAGTGCGGTCCGTCCGCACCACGAGGCCCGCATTGTGGACAGGGACGGGTCCACGCGTGAACTGGAGGCCGGAGGGCCCTCATCGTCCTTCCCCAGACACGACTAATGGGACTGCCATAGGACTGCCGATCAGTTGGGGTGGTTGACCTGGGGTTAATTGATCGGCATATATGCCAGTCCCATGGAGTGTTTGGGTTCTTTTGCCAGTCGATTCTTGGGGTTGTACTGTATAGATTGAGAGTCGTGCCTGGCACAGATGGTCTAAGAGGTGGTGAATTTTTGTTTCGACGCCCGTCTTTAGAGGGCTTCTTGGGGAGCCATCAAATGTCACTGAAAGCCACGGTAAATTAAGTTTCCATCCAACCATCCGACTCCAAAAAGATTTTGGAAAGCTATGGCCATGATGTGCTTCCTCGACGCATGTCGACGCCAGAAAGATGGCCCTGTGTTTTTTTTTTTGAGTCTTGCACAGGCCCTAGCCACTCTAGCCACTCGTGTGCCCACCCCGTGTGTGCGGTTTACGAGGTTTGATGGTGGAACATGTGGAACGAGGCAATTGTTCACTTCGCTTGTGTGCTTTGGCGAAGGGTCGACCATGAGTCTACACTGGGTCGACCGGACCGTGTGCGACCCAATGACCGCCTGTCGGCTGGGTGCGACGGTGGGACGGACAAAAGAAGTATTCTACTACCGCGCAGGCGGTAAGCAACAATTACATGCTAAGCTGCATTTGGAGGTTTCTGACATGGCTTTTGGTTGGGAACGCAAATAGGTATTCACGATTCATTGATTGAACAAGTTCATTTGGTTTGTGCAAGGAGCTAGTTGTCCCTGACTGGAGCCGAACCCTTGGAGGTAGATTACGCCGCAAGAGGTCGTCAGGGAGAAACAAACAGATTTGGATGCTTGCTTCTGTGTTTGCACTGACTGGCTGGAGTTAAATATCACAAGTGAGTGGTTGGGCCCCTAAGGCCCCTAAGGGTCCGAAACTGGAGGCACCTGGGCACTATTCAGGCATGTGACATGAATGTCAACCTGACGTACGAGCTGTATCACAGCAACTAAGTGGACTTGGATTCAGGTTGATGGGCTGAATCACCAAGCATGTTGGGCTCTTTGGGTTTTGGGAAACCGGCTGTGAAACAATTCGTGTAATAAGAACCGTGGAAACCTTCTCCAAACACTCTCAATCCAGCAAGGTCAACAAGGTGCCACGAAGGTTCATATGCATCCAGCGTATTGAACTTGAACACTGTCAGTCAAGACCACCATGTGGTCATTGACAAGGTATTAAATATATATGTAAATGTCCTGTGTTTAGATGATTGATTGAAGGACAATTTGAAAGTTTCAATTCCCTATGCCGAATGTACCGTGCTGTACAATGCAAGTTGGCCACGGGCTTCATTTGGAGTCCAACAGTTTGTTTTGGAGTGTGTTTTGCGTCACCGTTGGTGTTCGCACCTCTGTTTCGTTCAATTCTTCAAGCATGTTTGCGCAGTGACCAGCCGTGTTGCCAAAGAGCCCATGTATTATTAATCCTGCCTGTGTGCGCTCGGATTTGATTTCCAGAAAACCAGCCATGGACACAGAACTCACCATTTGAATGCACGCATTGCCTGTGCAACACCTTGATTCATGTGAGCCACTACTTTATACCGTAGCCGCTGTAGCAAATCGCACCGTTGCTTAAGTGCACGCGTTCTGAACATCATTTGAGAAACACATCACTCACGCAATGATCTGGTGACGTTGCCAAAATTCAGGAGTCGACAAACCGATTCATTAATCTAGATGGATCTAGATACCAACAGTCAGCGACAACAAAGTTCAACCTGGGAGATGAAAGACAAGTGAAGTGCTTACGACGTGAGACCGTAAAACTACAATTAAAGAAACAAGAGGGGACGCAAATAGAAAAAGACCAGTTACACCATGACGCAGACCATTTTGCCCAAGCAAAATGCAAGTCAAGAACACCCACCCATCCTCCTGCCGACGCCGAGCCCAAACGCACAGTGTTTCAGACCCATGCGGCTTTCAAGCCATTGGCCAGGCCATTCATTTGGCTGCTGGTGCTGGCAACTCGGAGTGTCTCGGTTTGTCTGCTGGCGCACGGAGACGGACAAGAATGAGAAACAAAGAGGTTGACAAAGAGGTTGAATTGAGCTGGTTGTATTGCAATGTTTTAACATCCACTGATCCACCCATGTACACATGCTAAACATGAGGCCTGAATCAACATGTTTTCCCACATATTTGTTTCTCTTGACCATACGTATGTTGGTCATGTCACACAATGTGTCCACATCCGTTTGCACTTTAGAGTGAGTCCGCATCCGTTTCCTTGACACCGTAGAGTGGCCCTTGAGCGCCTTGAGGATCTTGAAGCTGCTAGTCAAGAACGAAGCCGACCCCAACGCAGAGGCGCGCCCGCGGTTCTTGCACAGGAGTTCTTGCACCTCCGGGGCACACTGAGGGTTGCATCCGGGGCACACAGGTTTTCATCAGATCACATCGTGTTTAATGGCAGTTGCGGCGTCATTGAGCGGTGTTCGGATCCGTTGGCAGGGCAGTTGAACTGGAGGCTGAAAAGGGTGGACTGCTATCCCCTTTCAGAATTTCTTCCATGAAATGGGTGGGCGCAGTGTTTGTCAAGCATGCTCTCATTCAGAGGCCACTGCTCCACTGCTCCTGTTGTTTCTTTGAAGCATGCAGGACCAATGTATTTTTGTTCCGGAAGTCGAACAGGGCCACCTCAACTGTCACAACTCTCATGTTTGCACTTCCGCTAAGCCCAACTCGAACAGCCGATCACAGCCGCCCATGGTGCGTTTTTACGCACCACTTGGGAAGACTGACTGGTTTATTTGTTTCAGTGCCGTTTCTCAGTTCAGCTCCGGTCACCTTCCAGAAGTTCGGGGTAGTTACTGTAGACCATGTTAGACCCCTTTAAACTTTAAACCCCAAAGTGGCCAAGCTGTTCTTCTTTGGTTTCCCACGTGAGGTTGACTTCAGCCTCCACCCGCACACTCTTCACCGCGGTACTCCGGTCTCTCTCAACGAACCCAAGCGCCATCGTCGTCCGTCTCCAGGCGTTGCAATGGTCAGATCCCAAGCCACAGGTGTCCCGCAGCACTGGAGCCGCAAACGCGGAAATGGAGACATGTCGAAGGTGGATGGAGGATGGATGCCCAGATAGGGGGCAGATTCGTTTTTCCGAGAAAGACGAACACTGGGCACACCGGTTCAAGACAGACCCAGGTCGACCTGATTCCAGTCATCCCGATCCGTGACAAAGGTCTCAGCTTCCTATGGAGGGTAGGCAGACCCACCTATTCCATCTTGTTCCCAGGTGTTGCCACCCTAGATCTTCCTACATCCAACTCGCCAGGCCGCGGCCAACAACCTCCTCAGCTGGCTCAGCTTTCGGCTGCTGGGTGGCCCTCCCAGCGGCGCCATCCAACCCGCCGCACGGGTACGGCCGAGGGAGGCGGACGGGTGGCAGGCGGAAGGTTGGGTGTGTTGGTGAGTGGCACTGTGAAGCAGGTGATGTTTGGGTGATGTTGTTAGCTAGTAAAGAGGAGCAGTAGAAAACAGACAAATGAACATCATGTCATGAGCAACGGCCAGGACTAGCACCACGTCAGAGTGCTAGCAGGGGCAGCATGTGTTTGTTTATTGCTTTGTTTGCATGTTTTGGTATATAGTATCTCAGGTGGTTCTGCCCCGTGGCCTCGGCCCGGAGGGCGGGCTCTGCCCGACACGGTGCTGGGCATCCCCCGTACAATCGGAACCGGACCAGCTGTGCCCCCTCCTCCAGGGTTCTTTTGGAATTGGATGGAATTTCCCTATAGGGATCCAAGTATATACCTTCTCAGGTACAGTGAGGACAGAGACACGGTTTTTTGTAGGTGCCAGGAGGGTCCAGTCGCACCTTCTGAGGTTCAGTACAACTGATCCCTAGGGTTTGTAGATGGACATGATTTATGATGACATATAGACTTCCAAATGGATAGAAACGTAGATCCCCATGGAAATCGTTTCTATCTACATTTACATGATGTCTTTGAAAAGAGAGAGCCCTCCTGGATCGCATCGAACCTTCGCGCAGCTGCGTGAGCTCCAGCTCTAGCTCCAGCTCACGCGACGCTGTCAGGCTGCGGCCTTCAAGGAGGTACACTACTACCCCATCCATGACGCGGCATGGTTCGGGCAAAAGGACCCGGAACCCCCCGGGGGCTTTGAAGGGGTTCGAGCTCGAGATCGCGAGCGAGCGCTTTGGGTGTGGCCGGAGGTGTCCGGACGTTCAAGCGGACGGATCGAAGTATGGGACTGAAGTGGCCATTCGAGTGTATGGGATTACTTTGTGCGGGTGTCCTTGCTTTCGAGCTTTAAAGTTCAGTTGAAGCTGGTCGAGGGCAAGCATTCTTAAATTGAGAAGGTGAGGCAGGGACGTTTCGGTGTACTGTAAGCTTCGTCCAGCTCAATCCAGCTCAGTCTTCTGCCTGTTTCGGCTGCAAATTCTGCTCAGGGCAAACCTCCTTGTAGGGAGTGAGACAGACATAGACGGATGACATTTTGAGACAGGCACTTTCAGCAGGTTTGTGTGTGTGTGTGTGTCAGTTTGCTGCAACATTGTCCGGGCTTTTCACCAAAAGGGAGCTACAGTGCGCCGCTCCCCCTGTAGCATGGAAAAAGCGGAATTGTGGCCGGCGCTGATTATTAACTGGCAAGTGCCTTAACACGGAAATAAAAATAATCCTGGTGCGATGGAAGGAAGGTTATTTGGTTCTTTTTTGATTGAGAAAGCTTTCTTTGGTTCCTATTTGTGTTCCATGAGCGACAGAATTCACAGAAGAAGAGCCTGCGGCGCCTGCGGTCTTTCTGAGATAAAGCAACGTCTCATTTTAGGAATGCAATGCCGGTGTGAGTTGCTCTCCAACAATCTAATCAACGTATAAATAGACCACTAACATCCACTAACTATAATTATGGCTCCAGGGTCCAGGGCTGTACAACAGATCATGATCAAAACAATTGATATATATATATATTAATAGAGAGAGAGATTGGTTTAATTGAGTTGCAAGCACTTTCACCTCATTCTCCAAGTCTGTCAGAAATGTGTTGCGTTCCCACCACCGGGTGGTGAGAACGAGGAGAGCGTCGAAGCTTTGCTGGAAGAAAGAGCCAATATTTTTGTCTCCCGGCTTAGCGACAGATGTGGTGAATATACAGTCATCCTGGACTAGATAGAATATGGATCAATCCAAGAGTATAGGAAACTGGGTGTTTTTTTTTTATCATTCATATTCTATGTACTCCAGGATGATTATACATTACATGGTGCATGTGCTTCTGTTTTGCCGCACGGCGTCTCTTGCATGACATGTGTTGATGGTGGAATCGAAGCCCTTTTTGACACATCTCATGTCAGATTTGGTTTCAGCTGGGTGCTGAAATAGCTGGTTGCAAATGGTTTGTTGGTGGAGTATTTGAACAGGTTTGATTTGCGAGGAGTTCTTGGGCACATTTGCCGAACCACTGAAACCTTGAGAGAAGAATAATCGGCAATAAGCAAGACGGTATCACACAAAGATGCAGAGTCTCGTATAGTAGAATTGGAATCTACCCAAACATTAGGACCATCAGGAAAATCTGTTTGCATATTCAACGTTTGTCATAGATCCATGTCTTCGACATGTCCTGGTCGGGATTGATTGCAAATCCTCCTACACAATGACACTCTTGATGGAAAATTGTTTTAAACCAAAAGGTCTTCACTACTATTTCAACGTCCTGTAGAGCTCTAAACGCGCGGTTTGGAATACCAGGAGCAGTCGAATAAAGACCCATCCTGTGCGAAGGGATACCTGTAGAATCAGAAACGACAAACCCTTACTGGACAAACGCTTGTTTGTTGAGGAAACCCACCACTTAGGATCATTAAGGTGAACATCCATTGCCGTGCTGGAGCTGCTAGTCCAGATTGATGGACGGATGGACATTGGCTACACATGATGAAGAGATCCAACATTGCAGGGACCGTCTCCCGAGAAAAGACTGAGGGTGTTTTCAACCATATAAACAACCTCTCAAGCAGACAGAACAACCTGGTAAATCCAAGATGCTCCTCAAAGCATTTTTGAGGTTCTCAGAGAACGTCGATCAGTTCAATTTCTCACCAATTCATGACGTCTTCCCAGCTCCTCCAAGGTCTTCCGTGGTCCGATCCAGACCGGCGCTTCGAGGCCAAAAACAATGAGGGAAACACGGCGCTTCACTTGGCCGCCAAGCTGGGGCATGCCCGGAGCCATAGCTCGGTGCGGCGGGTGTCACCGGCACTTCACCTGCAGACCAGGAAAAGCCGGCCCCCCCCAGGCACTGGTATGTCACGTGCATGTCATGTATATGATTATTGATGTATGTTACTCCTGCAAAGGGTGCGTTACTCCTGAAATGAAGAGTATATGTAAATGTGTGTGTGTGCGTGCCCTCTCAACCTACGTACGTATGATACATACATCATCGATCCAGTATAGATACATATAGACGCCGTTGACTGACAGAGCCCTGAGATTCCATGCCCGTTCATCGCCTCATCGCCCACAATTGCCTGTTCTTTTTTTACCGCACAATCCGATGTATATATGTGGAAATGCATGGAGTCCTATATCTGACATGTGTGTGTGTATGTTATCAGGAGAAACATACATACCGCGAAAACCCAATGTGCGTATGTTGATGCGTTTGTTGTGGGAAACATGCATGCTGCATACTCCTTACCTACTTCAAAATCTGGGATTGGGAAGGATATGTTACCTAGCGAAACATACATACCTCACAATCCCAGGGCATGTATATTATGTACGCTGTGGTTCAATTGGGTCACATGGGTTTCATGTGACAGCAATCCTGGTCCTAGTAAAGCGTTGCTGGATGTTGTTAGCCTGTACAGAACGGTTCCTAGCCCAGTGCATCCATAGGACAACTCCGATGGCATGACAAAGTCATGGCCATGTCACAATAAACCCCTCACAGAAGAAACATGTTACTTGTTATTAAGGTTCAAAAAGAACTTAAGAGGATCCTGCCCAGGGGGGCCCCTTCCTTCGTATAGGTGATTTAGGTATGGCCCTTGGCACGAGCACAGCTCTGGACAAGTCTGCACAAAAGAACCTCAGGAGAAAACCTGTACGGGGTAAACACAGACAACAAACGCAGGTGTCGTAATGTACAGACCCAGCGACAGTTTGAACTTTGCCTTGGTGTTTATTTTGCCATTTGAAAGTCTGATGCTACTGAAGGAAATTTGCATTGTTTGCTGTCCGGAACTTCTATTATGTGAAGTGCCTTTAGATTGCGGCAAGAGCGTTGTGTCATAGAAGTCACTTATAAGGCAATCAGTTTGGGGACCTGGGTTGCCACATTCATCCACATTCACCAACACTAACATAGCCAGTCAGATGCCCCACATGTGGATCATTAATTTGTTTGTTTAATCAGTGGCAAAAAGACTCCTAGAGGGCCCAGAATCATCATGTACTTTCACCTCCAGAAGCATCCTCATGAGGTAGCTGGACCCGGCATGCACCCTCCATGTCATCCATGTCATCCACGAGGCTGATTTGGTGAAGTATCTCCTCCACGATCGCCATACGAGCAACGCTGGGAGCCTGGAACGATGGTGTGAGGAAATGAATGTCGCGGGATGAGTATCAAGCCAGACCATCCTGGCATATCCTGACCATCCATGGGAATAGTTTACATTGGAATAGTTACATCCATGGGATTGGAATACAAACATAATATCACAAATAGTTTAATTATGTATAATATATATATATATATGTATGTATACAACAATATATAACAATATATGTAATATAATATGTAATTATAATATATATATATACATCAACTGTTCCTTCGTGGAATAGTTACATGGATTTACTCCATGTACGACCCCAATGTATGTAGCTATTCCATATATGGATGGTCTGGGAGAGAATCATATACCAGGGTCCCGCAAGGGGTGTCTATTTGTATCCCTTTAGAGGGGGCGGTTGGTCCTCCGTGTGTCCTGGTATGAGAACACTGACATCTGCATTCATTGCACATACTTGAGGCCGCGCATCTTCAGATCACCATCGTTGGATCTTCCTTTCTAGGGTTTAACATGGTTTAACTGGTGCTTTTGGCAGGGGGTCCCTTCACTGCCACACTGCTTGGAATTGCGCCGACATTGAACAGCACCTGCATCATTCCTCCTGGTTGGTGGAGATCATTTTGTCAATCTTCAGATTGCCAAGGAGTTTGATAGAGACGGCCCCCGTTGTGTTCTATACACTGGAACTCTTGAATTCAGGCTTGGGCATCATCGCTGGATGTTTGGCTATAAGTGATAGATAATATGTGTTTCTCCTGTTTAATGGAAGTAGTTTGATCAGTTGCCTCAGACTTGACTGGATATATCAGACAGACCGATCTCCAGATGGCGCCTTTCTGTTATGATGTTGATGGAAGAGGTGCTCCACTGCGTCAGATTTATTGAACATGTCAGAGGTTTGTGCATCTAAACTGGCGTTCATCATCTTCCATCCAAATACTTTATTGGTAAGAGTACCATGGATCCACCACTGCACCATGGGACAATTAACATGGAACACACAGCAATCTATCCACCTGCAGAACCTCATGAATTCTGTGGGCCCGCATCACTCTAGGCCAAACCTCCCATGCCGATGACTGAGAAATTGTGCGGCGAACAGAAGGCAGAGGCGCCTGGGTCAAGTCAAATCCACGCTAATTGGAAACCACTGCAAAGGCTTTCCTGCCCTTGTCGTCATTTACGTAGACAGGGAACATCGGGTGTACCAAGAGGTTTGGCTATAGAAATCCCTACGTTGGGTGAAACATGCGTGTGATTTCATTTTTGGACTGCAATACATTTGGTTTTTGATAATTTGATGGTAGGCTTTATAATGAGACAATTGATCATGTAGGATGGGTTCAAGTAGAGCTGCCTCGACATAGAGATTGGAATCATTTGAGAAGAAGCAATGAGCAGGGACGTGCGGGAATCAGGGTCTAGGGCGGAAATGGGAGATGTGTGGGAATCCTACAGAAGACCCCGCTTCCTCCTGGTCCCCGCTCATAGGTGTTGCAACTATTGTGCTTAAACAATCCTTACTTCTGGGGCAAGCCAGCAGCGCAGCCTGCAGTTTCCATGCACCAGTCACCGGGAAAATCACCGGGAAAACACCCAAAACAGCGAGACAAAGGAAGGGGAGCTTCATGGCCAGGAGAAGCTTCAATTGGTGAAGGAAAGTGCCATGAAGGAAAGCTTGCAATTGGTGAAGCGTCGCTCTGCTAGACGAGTCGGACGAGTCGCCGAGTCGCTTGACGTCGGTTGTCGGTCTGACGGAAGTGGCACTGGCACTGGCACCACCGTTCATACGTATCATGTTGGCTTCATAGCAATAAGAACATGAGCTCTTATTCTGAAAGTGCCTGTCAGCACATATGCTTGGCCAAACAGAATATCACAGTACGGTGACCCCGCTGTGTGCATGCCTGGGCATGTGCAGACCGCAGTAGAATATGAACAGGATGTTCATGACCAAAGGAAGCAGAAGCGAGAATCTAATAATAACATGGCACATCACCTGGTAGCACACTCCCTATGCTGTCGAACTATTCCCCAAACCAGTGAAGTTTCTTAGTGATCCACACATGATGTTGCTAGCACGTCTCTACCCGTTTCCTCTTGCCCTTCTTAAAAGAGTGTTTAAACCAAAAAATACACATCACACACCTGCTTTACGGATGGCCCTGGTGACTGGTGCTTCATCTCGACCGCTCATCCACTCATGGCCGATGGCCGCGGCACGTCGCGCAGACGTCGGTCACGAGGCAAGAATTTTCAAGGCAAAGATCCCTTGACCATGGCCGTTGAGAGGGGGCATCTCGGATGGCCCTTGGAGGGGTCTCGGATGGCCCTTAGAGGGGTGGTGGTTTCGTGCTGGAAGTGGCCCTTGTTTGCAACAGCATTTTTACTCAGGTGGTACTGGCACAGGCAGTTCCTTTGCCATGTTTTAGTGCGCTCAAACAGATTCAAACAGCATGTTGCAAATCTGGAGCTTGCCATTGACATATGTGAGTTCTCAATCCCAGACAATCCATTTATGGATTAGTCTTCTACATTAGGGTCATAAATCCTCATCAGAGTAGGTGTATGATAATGTGTGCAACTATTCCACGCATGGATGGTTTGGAAATAGAAATGAAGTGTTCGGAACAAAACCATCAAAAATGATGGACCATAGTCAGTCTTTATGACATAACTATATCTTCTGACGGAAGATCTGAGGATCAGGATGACATTTAAGGTCACCCAATATTCTGAGGAACTTGGACTCCACAGCCCACCCGTCTCCAGGCAGCAAGTGTCGTTGCGCACGAACCGGTGTGATTTCATCGCTTCCACTCATGTCGCTTCTCATGTCGCTTTACTGCAGCATTCCTGGTATCTCCCACCCGGTCCGGTCCGACCGAGTCCGGATCGGATGCGTGACGCTCTTCGCATCGGCAGTAGCGAGTCCGTCCTGACTGATCCGGTTGTCTTGACTCAGGCACTTTCCGGCGAAGAAGCTGCACTTGTTCACGGATGTGGTGAAAGCAGCCTTTAAGGAACAGGACGTCCGTACCGAAGGCGGCCCTGATGTTTCCGATTCGTCGTCGTGAAGGGCTGGCGATAGAACATACCAAATGCGACTGTTTGTTGTGGCCCAAAAGATATGAGATCGTGGATTTTCCGACGGGGTGGAAAGACGACTTTCCGACTATCAAGCAAAGCACGAACGAGGTGACCTGATCATGGAGACCCCATTTGTTTGAAAGGTGTGTGCTTCCTAAACCTCTGAAGTGTATGAGTCTTAGAGCATCGCATGTTCGAAGATGTAGTCACAGCCCAACCTCCACCACCAGTCAAGGAGCAGTTGGAAGTCCAAATACTGTATTCTACGTGTGACACTGTGAAACAAAGACTAACAAAGTGTTCAAAGCAGGTCACTGGATCAATTCAGAGTTGCCTTTGAACACCAGAGTTCCAGATAGTTCTCCACTCGGGGAGCTGCATCGGACCCTCCACCATCGCCGCTCCCTCGCGAGGTCGTGTCCAAGCCTTCCTGAAAGTGGCCAAGACGTGCCCAGACGCCGCTCCCACACTGGTGCGAGTGGATCCCAATAACACCAATAACCCCGACACGGTGGATGAGCTCGAGGAGGGCATTTTCAAGAAGGAGATCAACCAGGACGGACGGATTGGTCGACGGTCTTGGGCGGGTGGGCGGTTGTGTGGGTTGAATTGTTTTTTGATGTGGTGGTGTTACATGGTGTGGTCATTCTCGGTGAGATGTTGGAAGAATCTGGAGAGAATGGCTTGAGGGTTGAGTTGTTTTTTTAAAATTGTTTTTGTAGAGGTGATGGCAGCAGGTAGATGGGACAGGATAATTAGGAGGTGGCGGCATTTTGTCCAATCAGACCACCCGCACCAATCCAGCCGCTCAAACAACAACAAATCAGGAACCATCAAACGTTTGCTAGGCGGGAACCGGAACGGGACACAAAACAATTCATGCAGAAAAGCACCACAGGAACCTGGGAAACACTAGGAACCGGACACCGGACCGGGAGCTCGAGATACCCTAGGTAAATGAACGAACCGTTGCTACCTGCCCCATCTTGCAACAACCACCAAGTGAAAGGCACAGAGATCCAGCAACCTTGCAACGTGGTTCCACGTGACCTGGTCTCCTAGACGGCATGGGAAATTTGCCTTTTCATGCCTGCAAATTCCATGTGTTGGATGAAGGGTAAACCATGCGCCTGTTTGCTATTTGTGGGACCCGTCGAGGAAAAGACCCACAGCCTATGAAGGCAATTAGAAGGGATAGACATAGGAGTCCAAACTAATTCACTGTGTAGTATAGCCCGTAAAGGGGCAATTGTTTGCCCGGAGAGGGAACGCAGAAGCCCAGGACCTCACTGAGCAGGTAACAGCATACGATATACGGTGTGTAGATGCCCGTAAAACAGCGAGGCGCATTATGGATAGCTCCTCAAGTTCCTAGTGAGTAGGGCCTATAGAGTCTTCGAGTGCCCGGTTGAGGAATGGAAGGAAAGCATCATCAGCGGTGCGCGCAAGAAGCTCATCACAGCTGCTTGGGTTGAAATTCCGCAGGCGCAAGAAGCTGGGTGTGCCTGGCAAAAGTATATAGTTGAAACATTCCTGCATCGCCTGGAACTGAATAACAATATAACATCGGAAACACCTGCTGCTAGGTGCGGAATATCTTTCATCCGTACATACAGTTACACAATGAATCACAATGATATTCCCCCATCAGAGCTACATCAAGTTGTAAGAGAGAGTTTCCAGCCATGCAATTTCAAGCTCACTTTAGGCTTCTTAAGGCACAAAATGCCAAGTTTGTGGTGCAATGGATGTATTTGTGATATTTGATCGCTGGAACTGACCTCATACGTGTTCCATTTCTCTCAGAATTCTCCACACACATATATAAATCCTCCACAGTTGATTTAGCTCAATTTGCTTACTCTTTAACCTTCTCTAATACGCCCTTCGATGCGACCTCCAACCCGCCGCGCCTTTCGGCTCGGCTTCCATCCATCCCGCCCCCCATGCCCCACCCCAGGTGCCGACCTTGTGTGACCTCATTGACTGTGCGCCGCAATCGGCCATCGACTTGCTGGACATGCTCACCACGCATCCCAAGGACCGGTGGGCTGCGGCCGGTTGGCGCGGCTTGGGCCGGGTGAGAGCCGAGTGGGGCAGGGCAGGGCAGCCCTTGCTGGAGTGGCAAGATGTATTTGTTGTTGTGTGTGTGTGTGTGTTCGGATGTTTGTACCACCTTGAGAAAAAAGGTCGTTCGGCTGAAGGAATACTCATGTGGTGTACTTGGAATGTGTCCAATAGAGTCCAACAACCCACTAGAAGGATCATATGCTAGACCAGCAGCAGAGACTCAAATTTGCCATCTCACCTGTGACGCCTCGCCTGTTCTCGCTGGGCCGCCTGTTTGGGACCCCACACAGCTTGGCAGGAAGAGAACAAACTACATAATCCCTTACCCGCCCGGGAGCTCGGTGTGGCACGCGACCGCCGCGACCGCCTTCGGGGCGCACACGGTGATGGGGGTCCATGACCGGTCTAAGAGGAGTCCTGGTGATTGAGAAGACGCCACATGTATCCACTGAGGATGTTTTGAGGGGGTTGGGTGGCCACGCCCATCCCATATGCTTGGACAGCAAGGTAGATTATGAGAGAATGCGCATAAGTTACACAGGTGTCTACCGGATGTGGATCTGACCAACCATTGTGTTATCAGATTGCTTTGTAAAGATAACACTGCACCAGACTCCTGCACCTTTTGTCTGCCTCAGATCTCAACTCTTGAGGGCAAACTTCGGAATCGAGAAACTTGGATTCGTATGGAGCACGCATGGAGCACACCCACAGCTAGGCTAGGTTTGACATGTTGGCACACTCACCCTGTGGCCGAGGTCAGAGCTAACATTCCCTACAGCCAGGAAGCCTGTCGTTTGTCATGTCAGTGGCCTCAGGACATGCCGAAACTGCCCAGCAAAACCAGCCGAACACACCGTTTGATCACATGAAAAACCATGTTCGATGACTTTCAAGAGCAGCGCATGTGAAACACTCGGAGTGGTCAGGCGCCAGACTCGCCACCCCCAGGCGCCTACATCGAGCCCCACAAGTGGACCTGGAGCGGCGGACCGGATATTCCTTGGCAGGCGGACTAAGAGACCTGCCGATCGGACGAGGGGCTTCGACGGGGAGTGAAGGGAGGCATGTTTGATGGAAAAGCTCCGGTTTGTTGGCATCTGAAAGGCAAAAGTGGATAGTATAGGTGTGGAGTCTAGAGGATGCTGTTCTTTCTTGCTGACCCTTTGTGTCTTGCAGAAATAACATGTGTGAAATATAGTAATATATAGTGCAAAGGGCCCGCAACTGCATGTGCCTGCATCCCCTTGGCTCATCAGTCATTCGCTCTCCAGAAGTTCTCCCCCGAAAGCCAGGGAACGATGGCATGTTTGTTTTTGTCTTCGGGGCACCGTGGTCGAACTCTTCGGCTTCACTCCGGGTGTTCTTTGCGGCCGTGGGGAGCGTTTATTCGATGCTTTGCCCGGAAAGTCAGAGACTCAGAAACCAATGCATTGCAATGGTGAAACGCTTAGCTGGTTAGCTATACGGTCAGCTATGGTCAAACGGAGCACATACGTTGATTTCATGGTTCCTATGTTTGGAGGGTTTGGTTTGAGGGACAAGCCATATAGGGAGCCAACGGGAGGGTTTTTTCACCCAAGTCGGGGAGGAGTCATCAGTTCAGCATTGTGACTGGGACTGCATTTGCTAGGCAGTGTGTCAATATGTGTCAATGTATATTTGGTAGATTCAATACCCCCAAAAGTTCAGCCATAGCATGCCATAGCCATTTTCATTTACAGCTCTTGTAGTTCTGGCCTGTTTACTTCTATTCTTGGAACCCTAGCAGTTGCTTTGTAATCTAGTCGCTTCATGAAGCGTTTGAGCACCCCGAGTGCCACGCCTCCCACCTTCCACGCCTCGCAGAAGTGCAGGTGAAGCTGGCACCACAGGACCCCAAGCGCAGCAGAGAGGTGAAAGTGAAGATCCTCATGTTGCCAGGCACCGGGCTTTTGCGTGACGGGCAGTGTTTCTGGGCGCGGGTTGTGTTTTTTCGCCCGGCGGTGTTGGCTCCCTGGGTTGAAACAGCAGGATGTTCGGGTCTTTCTGGGGTGGTTCGAGCTGCGTGTCTGGATGTCGGGTTGGAGAAGGGGCTTCTGAGATCTGCATGATTCTGCATGCGGAGAAAGAAAAAGGCTGCAGGTCACCTGTTGTTGTATCAATCCCTGCAGGCCTAGAGATCAGATCCCTGCAGGCCTGGAGATGCAAAGACCCCCTCCTTTATGCTGATGCTGATGCTAATTCTTGCTGGCCAGAGGTCATACAGCCTAATTCATGCATTGGATGTTATAGATTCATACCACCTTATAACTCATCACTCAGACGAGGCTTTTAGAGGCTTTTGACATTGTCGAAGTGAATCCATCAGCTCCCCCTTGCAACTCTCAGACTGCCAGGCGTGATCAACAGTTGCCTGGTTCATAGCCTGGCCGGGGAAGCCCAGAGAACTGCATGGAAGCATTAAGTTGAGAAGCTGGAGACAAGGATCATTGAGTTACGCTGGACAACACCGGGCTCCAATTCACAGTCCGGGGGGCCAGTTCAATGCTGATATCAGCTTTGATTGCTGTTTTTGTTCCACCATGTCCCGGAACATCCTTGTTTCCCGACAGACCTGACGAAGACCGAAGACCCAGCGGTAGACCCGTAACTCTCCGAGCTCTCTGACCGGACGGTGGACTCGAGTCACCGCCCAGGCGATCACAAAGGACCAGAAGATCTTCACAAAGCTCGTGGTCCATGCGCTGCTGAAGCACCTTTGGGAATCTTTCAGGCCGGGCTGCAAAGATGGCTTGAACAGGTGTGGGGGTACTTCTCTCATGACCATATTTCCCAGCAAAGTTGAACTTGAAATATGTTATATACCACTATCACTCACACCTCTGTGTTGAGCAACTTTTGGTAGGGCTTGCACATGTTGTGCCAAAGAAACTGGTTGAAAGTTGGTTGTAGGAACGGACATGCAAAACTTTTGGTTGGTTGCTGCAAGTCGCCCTGCCGTTGATTCCCCCCTATCATATGACTAGGATCTTCTGAACGAGCCTGCGGAAGTGATAATATATATGTATATATCGACTTACAAATCATGTATGGCATACCTACATTGACCCCTCAAACTACCCCAATGTATCATAGGTAAATATGTCATGTGTGGATTGTTTATACATTTATTGTATATACATAGAGACTCCAGCTCTTGGGAGTAAGGCACTTGTTACTAGTAGCGATGCACTTGTTACTAATAGCTTCTCGTTACTACTGGTAAGGCACTTGTTACTAGTAGCGATGCACTTGTTACTAGTAGCAATGGAAAGGCCCTAGAGACTCCAGCTCTTGGGAAGCCCAATGTCACTTGGACCCTTTTACCGCACGTTATCACTCAACGGTCACCGCCACTCGTGGAGGCCGCTCTTCCTCGTGGACTTGGGGCACCAGGCTCACCGGACCGTGATGCGTTTCATGCGAAGGACACTGTGCTTGATATGTCCCAGACCACATCCTGAGGATGGGTCACGAATGGAACAAATGTAACTATTCCATACATGGATGGTCTAGGTTGGTTTCACAAATGAATGTATGTAACTATTCCAGTCACATGGACAGTTTCGGTGTTGACGATAACCTCCATTTGGGCCGGCCGAACACGATCCTTGCAGCACACGATCCAGGGACATTGGGCCGGATCCTAGCCTCAAAACCAGCAGCCTCCTTTCTAGGCACCTTCTCCAGCCAACCACTGTGGCTGTGCTGGTTGGCCAAAGGAAGAACCCCTAAATGAACATATCGTGCCATACTTCGACTTGGAAGTTCTTCTAGTGCATGTCCACCTCCAAGATGGGGAGTCATATGTTGAGCGAAGTCCTGTGTCGTTTTATCAGGATCAAAAGGACTACATGCACGACCGGTCATGCGATTTGAGACCATGCACGACCTTAAACCAGGCATCTTCTGCACCATTTGTTCACCCGATCCCCCGTGAAGCCAAATCCAAATCAAAGGGTTGGAATCCGAACTCCGAACTCCGATTTCGCTTGGAATCGTTTTTCAGCCACCCCAGAAGGGTGGTGGCAGAAATCGACCCACGCTTCTGGCTTTTGGAACTGGCCAATCGTTCCAAACATCTCAGACTTCCAGTCGGCCCAGTCGTCGTCCGAGTCTGTCCACCTGCCACATCCGACACCTTAAGATGGCGTGTTCACCGCATCTTCACCACATGCGATGCCACCACGGCCGTTTCTTCGGCGGAACCTCGGATCCGCCGTCGTCGCGATCCGCGATCCGCGCAGTTCTTGTCCACGGCCGTCCTGAGCTATTGGATCCTTCTGGCCACACAGGCGAGGGAGGTCGACGAGGGTCGAAGAGATGGTCCGAGGTCGAACACACAGGCCTCACGAAACGTTTTGGAGGTGATTTTGGGATAGTTTTTGGGCATCATTGGGATGTATGATGGACTATCCCTCCGAATACACGGTCCAACATCTTAGAGTCTGAGACGCATTCGCACCACCGGTCACCCCAGGCATGGCCAAACGGGGATGAGCGCCCAGCGTCGTCGTCTTCGGGACCTCATGGGACCCCTCGGTCGAGGGTCGACGGTCGACCCGACAGGTGGAGACGCCTCGGATGATCAGCTGCGCACTCTGGGGGATCTTGGCCGCGGAGGGCATCTTGGAGATCGCCATGTTCGTCACCCGGCTGAGCAAACCATATGTTTTGTCCGGCTCTGCGGTTGGGGTCTGGAGTATAGATATATCATGAGGAGTGGGTGGTGAGTTGGACCTGGAGCCACGTACTGGTCCACCATGTAGTGAACGAGCTTCCGCCGGTAGGTCATGCAAGGTATCCTGGTTTTGACCCACAGCCAGATGGCACTAACTCAGTATGTGCAGAGGGGTGTAAGTGGCGCAAGTAACTCAATGTCCCTAATATATTACCTAATATAGACACATGCGACCTACGATGGATGGGTGCATGAAAGGGTTGTGTGAAATGGTGGTGCCTGGGAGCGCTATTGGGAAGGTGAAGCACTTGGGAAGTCCGTGAGTTTAGAGTCTTCAAGTACAGGGTGTGGAAGGATGAAGCACAGATTTGATCCACAGGGTTTGTTTAGGGTCTCCACCCTTTAGGGTCTGTTTAGGGTCTTCACCACATGTACTTGATGTACAGATTTTATTTTCTTCAAGTTTCGTCAATTGAGCATTCCACAGGCACACTGCCAACCCAGGTGCACCCAAACCGATTCCCTCGCGCCTCACGTGGACGTCCCTTCTGACCTGGCCATCAGTTCAGACCCATCCGGTAGAAACGGAGTCAGTAATACAAAGACGTCACAAATATAAGTACTTGTGAGGTTACTTGCAGAGGCTCTTGGAAACTGAGACTTACTCGTATAGAGGTTACGAAGAGGTTCCAGGCTGCTGCGGACGAGCAGATCGCGAAATCACGGCCGATCTCAGATCTGGACCTGTGTGACTTGCCATTCGAAACTCGGCCTCTTGGAGCTTGAGTCGAATTGATACTTCCGTCCGCAGGGTTGGGGAGAGAGGAAGTTGTGGGGGTTGGTGAACCGAGTACGCGTCCGTGGCGTTTGTTAGTTATTTGTTGTAGAAAAAGACTGGCTTTTGGTTTGGATCTGTTTGCTGAACTACCTGTATGAATCAAGTTATATCAAGTTGATGTCTTGATGTGTTTGTTTTGCTTGTTTTTTGGAGAGGAGAGGACTTGAAGATATGAACGAGCAGGGCTAAATGGACCCGATGCAAGTTCTTCTACTTGCTGAAACCAGCTTTATTGCCATCGGCAGTGAGACATGCCGCTTAGAGATTCCCAAATCTAGAGAGTGGGGAGAGAGTTGAAAAGGGTGAATTGTTCACCCCCCTTCTCTGGGGTTCCAGGGGGTCTTGTTCTCAGCAGGAGGGTCGTGGCTGATGCGGGCCCAGACGCTGGGATACGCTTGGTATAACATGAAAACTCATGGAGGTGGAATGAGATGAATATAGTCATGGTATGTCATTGTGCTTAGATGTACGTACATACTATATACTATACTGTGGCGCTTTTAAGAATTCCTATCAGTCCAGATTCTTCGAGTCGCCATGGAATTGGCACACCATACTAACCAGAATGAGGCCGAAGGAATTGCGCATTCCGAAGTCGGTGACACATGTGCATTATTGTCCCCATATCATTGCTCCATATTTGCTCCCATCATCGGGACCTGAACCAATGGAAAGGGTCCAGGGTGTGTCCTGACTCCGAAGAGTTGTTTGGGTAGTTCAATGGCATCGATGCCGTCTACGAGCTCGATGCACGAAGTGACACCATGATTTTTCCGTTTAAATTGGACGTTCCGTTCTGCTTCAGGTCGACGGCTTTGTATTCGCTGGATGAAAAGAGTGCCTCGGTGCAGAAATTAAAGAACCACAACTCCACAACTAGACCAGGAAACATGCACCTGGAATTTAGCACCTCCACCTGAGTGATTGGAAGTGTGGGGGTTTTGTCTCTTGTTCCTCCGGCCGGAGTCTATTGCAGTAAAGAGCAAATGAGTTTGGATGTGGGTTGCTCTTTGTATCTTTATGGAGATTTTGATTCAGTTTAGATATGCTGTTGTTAATAGACATACTGTACTAGTAAGACTAAACCCGCAAGCTGTTTGTTGATTCGCAGAAGGGTCTTACTTGTTTTCCGTTCCAACTAAGTCATCCATGTCGACTCTCCTGCACCAGTTCTGCTCCGGGAGAGTTCTGCATACTGCTCTTCCACGGCTCTTGCTTCAGGCCTACTATCGCTTCATCATGGGTGCCTGTGCCTTGGCTTTGGCCATCGAGACTTCTCAGGACTATGAGCCGGTCGCCAATAGCCCGGGAGCCCGGCTGTCCTGACGTGCTGTTGGACGACGTGCGTGGGAACCGGTGGTTTTCTCGTGCGAGCAGGAAGGAATGGTCATGTCATGTGCGGTTGAAGTCATGTACATGATTTCCCTCCAACAGTACTAGCATGGGCAGCTGAAGCTTCCAAGAGTTGTCTGGAGTTTCTTTGAATGCGTTCCATTTTACTCAGGGACTCCAGCAGCAAACTTAGACACGTAGGTTTCTGCAGGTATGGCTCCAGATAGAGTACTTAGGGACTCCAGCTACTCAGCATAAATCAGCATAATTAGCTAGGCTTCTACAGGTATGGTTCCATATAGGGACAAAGTAGACTTGGTGAACATGAATTTCAAGTTAATGCATGTCCACTCTCCACCAAGTATACTTGTCCATTTGCGTCCATTCTCATATCATGTGTCGGTGCGTAATCCAGACCGGCCAAAGACTTAGAAGAGTTGTATCCCTTGTGGTTCCCGACTGCAAGCAAAAGTCCTGGCATCCACTGCATCAAATGGCGTCAAGTCATTGTCGGCTGCCGGGGGTTGAAGCTCTTTGACCACCAGGTTCATTTGTTTAGACCCTATAGACAGCAGTTTTGCCCCCCTCCATCAGACAACAATGGGGTCCATTCCAGCACGCCCCCTCGACGTCCATTCTGACGCCTTCGGGGTCTGATCTGCCGATCTTCAAATGAACATACCGCAGTCGACTAAAAAGTTTCTATTTCAGCATATTTCAGCTGTTGCTCATACTTTCTGGCTTCAGGGTGACTGTCCGTTGATGGACTCAGGGCGGCTCAACTGGCCGCCCGCAGAACGTTCTGGATGGGTGCTTCCGGGTCCCGGTTCGCTGCGCTTTCGATTTGGTTGCCAAGGTTCGATTCTACTCTCGATCAATAGCCTGCTTCATTGGATTACGATGCTTTTCGAGTTCCTGGGACTGTGGGCAAGGGTTTTTCACGCGACAGACGACGGGAAGGGGCGGAAACAGAAGATTCAACGGACAAACAGACAAGGATTTAGTTAGTAATACTGTTAATTTGTTAGAATATTTAGATATATTGTTCAATATAGAAGATAATATAACAACCATAACATGTACAATTTCAACTACAATAAATAAATATATATATATATATATATTAGTATAGATATTGATAATAACTGTACTAATTAGTTAGGGAATATGTTAGGATTGTCACACAATCATCATTCTGTATTTAATAGTTTGTTTGAAAGTGAACATGACAGTACATTAATATCATATCAACATTATTTAACTATTTCTATATTAGTAGTAAACATATTCAAAATAGTTCAGGACATATATGTTTTATTGACAAATATGATAATATATTTATATCATGCTGAGCCCCGAAACCATAGATGAGTCCTTGGAGCCATTTTAGTCCTCGGAACCATTGGTTACCAAACCATAGATGAGTTGTTAGTTGTCTCCCAGTGGCCTAACCTATATATCCCAGACCATCCATATATATAATATGAATATAGTTTTATTTTTTAAAAGATCCATTCATGTACGTAACTATTCCAGCCACAAGGATGGCCTGTGATGTAGCATTTCTATTTGAACTTGATGGAAAACATCACTTTTCAAAGCTTCTGTCGACCAATACTAAGAGTTTCTATTATTTCATGGTTTTAAGTAATATTTAAAAGACTTTCTCTAGTATTACTATTATAGTATGTCCAATTGTAACACATATTTCAATCATGATTTGTTTTCAATTTGTGGGTTACTATTGTATATGGATAAAACATTCTTGAATCACAGAAAGTTGAACCGGGACAAAGTACAGTAAAATAAACCACATGCAAAGATAGTTTGAAGGAGATGGAGCTCCAAAACACGTGCTAAATTTAGCTGTCCTAATTGGTATAGGGTAGCAGGAGAGGCTCGGAGCCGATCCTGTCCTAATCGACGGCTTTGGAACCAATCCTTGTTTGTTTGTGTATTCTTTTGATTTTTTGTTGGTATGTAGTTAATATGTTTTTGGTTAGGCATGTTTTGTTTGTTGTTCTGTTATTTGTGTCTTCAGCAAAACAATAATCACTTTCATTGTCATCGTACATATCACCATCTATGTTGTGAATATCTTAAGTGTTGTTCATTTATTCCGTCATGTCATTTTCATATTTGTCTAAAAACATCCCTCTATTTCACAATGTGTTTTTACCTAAAAAAATATCTTCAAAATCGATTTGATATTGTAGAGTTTTCTTTAACATATCGTTACTATTAATGGCAATATGTCAAGAAGTAATATATAGATAATGAGTTTAATATTAGTATGGCTTTAATACTTTGAACATTACATGTTTTTGGCTGGAATATAAACACGGATGTGTTTTAGACATTTAGCCAATACAATAAAGGTTGTAATGGTACGAAAGACATGTTTTCAAGGAGAATATGTAGAACGTGTAAAAAAATCTTAACTGAACATATACTGTTAGTAAACTAGTTCCAGTTCTAACCCTATGTAGCCATTAGCCTTTTAGTTGCAAAGCATACATAGCATTGTTTAGCTAGTTGTTGCTGCTTCATCCGCAGATTTGCTTATGTTGTGTCACTCAGCTTTACAATTTGCCACTTAGACTCAGACTATATATTAGTACTCGATTTAACACGATCTTCTCTATGGCTACTAGACTTAAATCTTGTTTGGTTTTGGTGTCACTTATTTTTAGTGTTTTTTGTTACCCTTGTTTGTTTAGTTTTGAGGGAGGAGCTCTGTACGAACTTCTTTTGCTCGATTTGAGGAACACAATTTGCAGTGTTGAACTTTCTTCCTGCCTTTTTTGCGAGCTTTCATGCGGTGAGTGCTGTCTCACACTTGTCAAACAATATTTAGTTTTATTACTATGTATTGAATCTCCTCTTTTTCCAACAAGAGGGGCATTAAGTTATATTGTATTATACTATGACACAATTATGTTATCAAAGTTGTTGTTAGTTCAGTTGTCCCAGCTTTAAACTATACACACTTTCACTTACCTCTCATCTATAGTTTGATTTAACAACTTATCTATGACAGTTTCCATCTTTGCTTAACAGCTTATAAGTGTACAACAGCTGTACTAATAATAACGCAGTTTCATTGTTTCCAACAACATGATACAAAATCAATTAGTTCATACTTTTTTGGAATAGTAATCTTTCCGCCACCTCTTATAGAACATCCATGGCTAAATTCAATATATTAAATTCAATATATTAGCATGTTCTTTGATTTGAACACATTATCGCACATGTATATGTACATCATGTTTTCTTTCCAATGAACCATATATCATATGTACAAAGTGTTCATCCATTTTGTCTTTTGTTACGTTCAGCCATTTCACTTTGTCTATGTATATATAATATATTATATTGTCAGTGGATTATATCAGTCCATAACAACGATATATGTTTTGACTTGTAACATTACATGGATTTTTTGTATATATATATATAATTACAACATTTGTTTATGTTGTTCTAAAACAATATGTCATGTACATACGGTAATTGGAATCTACTTGCGTACTTGCTAAGAGCAACCATATGTGCAGGAACTCAAAAAGCCATTCATCAGAAGAGGTCAAGAAAGGACCGTGAGCAGAAAATTTCTCATGTGGTTCACCCTGTGATGACTTGCCCCTTGCATGACCAATTCACCTTGAAAACGGATAGCTGAAAGTTTCCTGCCAAGCAAAACTGACATGAGTAATGAAAGCACCAAAGCTAAATAGATTCCCTTGCGGGGGTTCAGTCAAGTAAGACTGAAATGCAACCACATGCAACTCCCTCAAAAGATTCTCACTGCCTGCCAAGATATGACAAAGCGAAGCTTAAAATCAGATGAACTAGCTACAAGGCACTGAAATGCTAGTATTCGCGGGTCAAGCAACTTCTTGAGTTCATAAAAAGGTGTTTACCCTACCCTTCAGGGCTTTAATTTATATGTTCAAAAAGGTTGACCTGGTGTTGCAAACCCAAATCCTTCGTAAAACGATTGTTCTTCGGTAAAATCCATAGAATCAGGTGCGTGTCCAATCCGGGCAGGCCATTCATTGAACCCTCACTACTCCTTTTTTGACCCTTTCTTTTCAACTTCCAATCCGATAGGTCTATCATGGTCTATCCTTTTCAGCTTCTCGCGACCTCCTTCCGCAAACGAACGCGTCGTCTCGCCCTCCTTCTTCCGCGCACGCGTTTCCGAGGATCCGTGCGTTTCGCGCCACGGGCCGAAGGCCGGGACCGGGAGCGTGGCCGGGTTGGTGTGGAAGAGGGGTTGGTGTGGATCAGGGGGACATGATATGTCCTTGGGCATTTGGCGCGCAGAGACATCCATGTGCAAAGCACCACGAGAATCGCAGCTCGGCCTATGGCTGGTTGAGCGTGATTCGCATAGAGGTTCATACAGAGAAAGGCTGGCTTGCTTAGTGAGCTGAGAAAGGTGTTTTCGCATGCAACAATCGACTCGATGTCTCAGCTTCTGCCAGTTTCTATACATGTGTTTGTGATGGACTATTTACCCGCAGGATATAGGATATTGTTGTTTCTATGTATAATTTGCAAAAACCAGTCTCAGACCATATGCCAAGACGCATCGCGGATCATGGGACTCCAGCAGGATCTTGCCCATCATGAAGTCGGTTCTCCCGATCGTTGGCATGTTGGTCATCATGTGCCTCAGACAATTGGGAGGGAATCCGTGTGGAAACGGATGTTTAGCTGTGCACCCTTGAACGACAGGAGGTCAGAGGCAAAGGGTGTTTGGATTACTAGAATTCCTGTTGTGAAGCCAACCAAAGCACGGCTAGTTCCTGGTGCTTTGGTATTTTCCTCGTGCAGATGAGATGCTGCGGATGCCTATAGGGCCTATAATAGGCGGCCTATATATCAGACAAGTGCCAGCGTGTTTGGTTTGACACCCTGATTGAATAATAATTGTTGTTGTAATTACTCCCTGGCAGAATTGCCCAATTCTCAATTCGATTCTCAATGTTCAAGACCTCACCTGCTCAGCAGTGCACAAGATTTGTCAGTACCGGCATTTGTACTTGTGGCGTTTGCATAAGACGAGAATCAAACGGGTTTGAGCTTGGAGTCAGTGCTTCCTTTTCGGATGGGGGGAGGATCTGATCCCAGGCAACTTGGAGTAGGGAATGGCGTGGGTTGCTGCTTGTCAAGGGCCCTGAAAACCAGCCTTCATCCTTGAACGACAGGAGGTGGGGAGATCACTTGAGATGCCTCCGGAGTTGTTCAAATTCCGACAGTCTCAATCAGCAGGATTCGTTTGACAGTCTCAATCAGCAGGATTCGGAGTTTTTGGTTCAGGGTCACTAACCACTGGACCACTACATCTTTTGGTAATGAAGAGATGGCTTCATTGTTAAAGAGATGCAATGGACACATTCTTAGAAGATCTTAAGAAAGGCATGCATTTGGATCACTTCCTTTGGTGTACTCTCAATACACCCAGCTCAAGTGCCAAAGGCTTTTCGCCAATCCCCAAAAGACTCCCTACCAGAGCTTTGGAAGACAGCGCTAAACCCGTTCAGGTTCTGGCTTTGGTAACCCGCGCACGGCCAGAGCCCGCTGCCCGAAGGCTAGACACCGATGGGACTAGCAGTGCAGACTCGGGGTGGTTGGCCCACACCCGCCTTCCATATTCCCCAGAATCTGTGGGGAGAAAAGCAATAAAGCACCTGATCACCCGGGTAGGTGCTCCAACTCCTTGGTCACCTGCCGAGGCTCTTCATCTCCTTGGCCTTCATGCACGCCTTCTGGGCGATGGACCGCAGCGGCATCACCGTCCGGCGCCCGAGGACCTTTCGATCCGGACCGGGGAGCGCAGTGGCCGCTGGCCGCGGCGCTTGGAACGTTGAGCATGCGAGATTAACATCAAGCACAGATCGAGTGATAAGACTGAGGTGTTTGCGAGTGTGTGTGAGAGTGTGGAGAAGGGAGACCCTTTGTTATCCTGGTGCATACGGTATGTCCTTTTTCAGCCTTTTTCGATTAGCCTGCCAGCTGTTGATCCTGATGGATACAGCAAGTGCTTTTCGCACAGGGGTTGCCTCGAATTCTGTTTGTTTCGAAGCAGGTCCTTAACAACCAAACCAGTGCGGCCACTTAAAACAACTCAATTCAACCATATTCAAACACACACGCACACACACACACCCGCCCGCGCGTGTGTGTGCGCTGGCAAAAACACACCTGATTGGCAAATGGTCTGTTTCCCACCAGGCAAAGGCACCAAGCAGTTCGGACCCAGTTTCTGAGATTTGCTGGTCGGCCCTGAGCTCCTGGTGAGCTAAGGAGATCTCCATGTTCAACATCGTGGTGCTCCTCTTTACTGGAGAACAATTCCTATCGCCTGAGGACTTGATGGAGATCCATGTCTGAGATGTTTGGGAGGCACCTCTTTAGGTGGGCACAAAACACATATCAATAAGAGCTTTTCCCAAAGCTAAGGAGTTTGCAGTGTTCCTTGAAGGAAGGTGTTCCCAACTATGAGCGAGAGGGTACGGAGCAGCCATCACTCTTGAGACCATCACTGTCAAGGCTGATAGCGCCAGTTAACACAAAAGTCACCAAGCAAGCCTCTTCCGCTCTTCAGTTGTTCTTTCGTACATCCTTTGTGTTGTCCGTGTCTTTTTTTGCGGTTCTACAACCCTTTCACTGATGACCAGTCGGGTCGTTGGATGCTCCCGATCGGACTGTTAGAGTCGAGCACGAGCGTGCTGACGACATGGTATACCTGGTCGAGCACCAGGCTGGGGCCCCTCTCGGCCCAGCTCCCCCTCTCGGCCCAGCTCCCCAAGGATGCCACCGTCGAAGATGACTGCAATGATTCTGCTGTCGATAGGCCGACGTGTGCGGGCTTGTAATGGCGTGTGTGGGTTCCGTTCAATACAACCTGGGGTGTATGCACTCTATGATTCCTCTTTTTTTGACTGTCACTTATTGCTGTTTTGCTGGAGTCCAACATAGAATGCACTTTTAGATGTTTGATCATGTCCGTCAAGGGGTCAGGCTCAAGGGGGGTCAAGCTGCCCAAAGCAGGTGGCGTCTTCATTTTCCTGACCTGTACCATCAACGTCTTCATCGCAGTGCTCTCGGACTGCTACGACCAGGAGCAGGAGAGGATGGCCCCTCGATGGACCCATTTAAGGACCGACCTCGGGGGGTGAGTCGATGGATAAGTAGAACGAGTGTTAAGTTTCTTAGAGGAACATGTCGTGAAGACGGTTGATTAATCAATCCCCCTGGCAGAATATGCCGGAATGGCTTTACATCTCCAATACATGGGGTGTTTAATTCATCAAGAGTCTACATGAGTGGGTCAGCTTAAACCTGGGAAGGTCGTGGATGGGACGAGCCTGTATCCACGTACCTGTTCTTATCAACCCTGTGGTCGAGCCCATCCAAATGATCAGAAATGATCAGGGACAACATGGCTCCCAAGAGTTTTTGGCTGTTCCTTTTCCTTAATTCCAGAGAGCTGTCTGACCAGGGGCATACAACAATGTCGACCATACAAACGCACCTGAACCATAAATAGTTGCCAACATACCCATGTGACGCCATTTTTGCAGTAAGGGTAATATGCCTGAAGTACGGGTGAAAACACCTAAAGTCAGGAACCGACTTTCGTTCTATGCTGAACAATGCAACGGTATCCTAAGAATGAATATGCCAGAACGTCTAACAACGGAGAGTCGAGAAGGCTCAATCAATCTATCTATGTATTTATCGATCTATCAATCCATTTATCTATCTATTTGTCTGTTTGTTTGTTTCTTATGTGGCATGTAAAAATCTTGGGCGGTACAGGAACTCCAAGACTTCTTGATCAAAAGATATCAACCGTGTATGAGTATTTGTCCTATATGCAGCCGCGGTGTCGCTGAGGTCTGCACCTTTCTCAAGGAACGTGCGCGGATCTGCCCGGGCACTTGAAGAGGTCGTTCAAACAGTCCCAGTCGATGTCAGAGTGAAGGTCACACCTCACCTCACCCTGAGAACAACATGATGACAACGTACAGCCGGAGCTGGTGGGGTCTATGACCAACATGGGACAGCCTCCCCTTCCAATCGGCAGTCCATTGATTTTCCCCGTGGCCTGGCATTTTCCCATCTTTTCCCGTGAGCTTTCGAGCAAAGCAGATCGAATGGATCCGGTCTATCTTCAATATTTTTTCACCATTGAGCCATAATGTTTTGCCCTTCTCAAGCAAGCAGATCAGATCTCAGTAGAATTATATATACATATATAGATCAGACATCCGCTTCATCCGTCCCCGCGGTCCCGACGTGGGCAGACATCAACCACAGAGCATTTAGGTATCTTATTCAAAACGCTGGTCTGGGATTTCTATGTCGGGATTGGTCCGTCAATGGTCCATCCTCGGGCCATCCTATCCCCATGAACCGCACATTGACTGCGCCAAGGGTCCGACCCACACGGTGTGGCCCAACAGGAGGACTGAGGACCTGAGGATGGGACGAGTTCCCCAAATTGGATGTGGTATCCGCAGACAGGTTGAACAGACTCGTTCACCCCGATGTTTGTTTCTCCCATCCCCCAAACAACTCACTCCGCGAACTTTACTGTTTGCCCCCCTTGGAGATGGACAACTTTCCATCTGAACCACTGCCAAGGCAGCGGCTACTTCCTGCGCCCCAAGTTTAGAGCCTCAGGCTTTGGATTCATCCAGAAGGCACGTGTCGACTGGCACGTGTCGACGTGAGCGAACAGGGGACGTTTGTTTTGGTGGGGTGTGAAGTGTCCAAATGTTTGTCTGCGTGATGACTGTGGGGCGTCATGACCTTTTTCAGATGTGGAATGATGGCATTTGGCCCAGATCTAGTGCATGCCCTCATCAAGGGATAGCGATGTGATCAAGGTTGGCACATTATGGTAGAAAAGGTTGGTATATATAGATCTTGTAGCTAGAGCCTCAACCGATCCACGGAGATGACCGTACTGTCCAAGTGTCACGCGTGTCGTAAAGCACATCCGGGTCTCTCGGGTTTCTCACGTGCTCTTTACCATTCTCTACCCATCAGGACTCTTTTTGTGGGGTGGTGTCTCTTCCCCAGACCACTTCCAAATCTGATGGCACGAATCAAAGCGTGATGTAGCAGCTCTTTGTTAGGCTAGCTCTGTACTTGTTCTCCAAGATACTTCACCCAGCAGGTTTCATATCATAGGACGGTGGCTTCTTTTGTTGAAAGAGTGTGGGCGATTGCCAACAGGCTTCAGGCTATGGCAGCAAATTATTGGGAGTGTAGGGAGACCTCCCGGTTTGACCCCCTAGAAGAAGGGAAATATGCCCAAACCATTGATTGGGGGGTCCCCCTAGTTTAATGCACGCCCATATGATATTTGTGTTCACTAGCGGTAGGATGATATATTACCTTTGGATGTTGATTGCCACGCTTGCCACCGCGAGCAACAATCACAGGATTATGATTTTGTGCTGAATTGTGTGAGGCCAGAGAGGTAGACAGAGGCAGAATGGATAGGTCGGTCTCTTTTTTCAGTTGTGTTTGATGTGTTTACATGCACAAACAGATACAAACAGTATACCGACGTCTTGTTTTGAGCAGACTTCACTCATAATCCCGTCTGAGAGGTAGAACCTAAGCCAACCAAACCCGCTCCTGGGTTTCCAGGGGATCACCAAGCTCAGCTGGTGGCGATGGGTCATCTTGGTGGTGCCGTGGCACATGTTTTGAATCGCTTGGGTTCTGGCAGTAGCTCCGGTTTGGTGATTTCTGGAGTTTGGGTGTCACCGGCTAACCGGTTTCCTTCACGGTGCTTCGATTCATTATGGTGGCCACTAGGCTGCACTGTCCCTCAGCTGGAAACGCACCGAACACACCGAACAACAGGAGCGTATCACAGAAAAAAGTACAGCATGATGGTGTAAGACACTTAAAAGTACAGCACGATTGTAAATAAAATATCCAAATCATTCAACATCTAAAGAAAAACATAGAAAAGCATCTAAAAACACACACACACACACAAAAAACAATAGTATACGTTTAACAAATAGAACCAATACACCAATTGAACAAAAAAAACACTAAACCAACATATGCAGACATTAATCCCGGACAATCCGGGCGGGGTTATTAATCCAACACAACAATGTGCAGACATTATTCTGGGAGGGGTTACTAATTGGCATTCAACATTAGATGGCATTTGATAGAAATGCCCCCAGAGTACCTCAGTGAAAGACCTCAGTGAAAGACTGAGCAGGAGTCGGTACTCAATAACGGTACTGCACTTCGCAGGGTTCACCCTGAACACGATTGCGGTTGCAGATCAAGAATGTACCGATGTTCAAGACAAGTGCTTTTTTTTCCCATCAGTGCTCAAGGCTTGGACATGCCAGCGGTTGACCGATGAAAGTAAATTCACCAAGCATTCTGGTAACCAACCACCCGCAGACGCCCTAATTATGGGTTGTACCAGCCCCGACCCATCGAATCTGATGTGGAAAACTCTTCTCAGTTGGCTTCCCAAGCTCCTTGAGGTCGCGATCATTGGCTTGTACGCCCTGCTGCTGTACCTGATCACTGAAATCAAGCTGCTTACACGCTGGCTGAGTGTGGCCTGACAGAACTGAGCTGGGCGGAAGTTGCCGTAGTTCTATTGGTTTCCAAAGTGGCAAGAAAAATGTGCTCAAGGCGGGATTGGTCATCAATTAAGCATTCCCTCCACCAATCATCCTCAAACATGTTTAGTATTCTTTACATACAACTCCTTCTCCAACCTGCTTAGCAGGGACCCCAAGAGTCCTTTTGACAACAGAAGCACATGTTGTATCACTAGAGACTAGAGAAGTTCATGGTTGTTTACAGAATCCTCATTGGCCCCAGTAGCCTGCAAGGAGGTTGGTTTTCCTTGGGTGGGCACTGGCGTTGGTCACTGCTTGTGATTTGGCCAAGGCTATCTATCCCGCTGCAGCGGTCTGGTAGCTCAGGGATTTAGGGAGGATTAGAAGACAATAAAAAACAAACAACATGCATTGACTCCTGAGAAGCAGGTGTCCCTGTGTATTGATGTTAGTTCCGTGGTGTTTCCACATTAGGTTGTCAATAGATGAGGCTTACGGGGAAAACGTGTTTGCTACATCTACGTGCTTACGGGAAAACGTGTTTGCTATGTCTATGTTTGTTTAATGTTGTGTTCCTTTGCTCTGAGATGGCTAAAGAAAATCTCTCATTCATCCTGATTCCTCGAACTTGCTGTTTAGTGGCCGTGGCAATGGCAGTTTGATCGATCCAGATCTGTCATGATGCTACTCCTTACATTGCTTTTTTTTTCCCCACAATTGCTTGTGCTTTTCATGTACCCTAGCACTCCAAAGACTTCCTCAGAAGGTGGGACTGGGGTGGGTTGGAGGGTCCAGTCATACCTTTTGAGGAAGCACTTGGAGGTGTAGGGGTATATGATCTGTGTCTTTTTGCGACGGTCACCGATGTCGGTCAGCGATGTGGACAGACGGAGCACCGCCTGGACGGACGTGACAGGCAGTCAGAGTAGATGGCACAATCCTGAAGGTTTGGTGGTTTACTCTCCCTGGAACGGCCCCATGGTTACGTGGATGGCACCACCTGTTTGGTTCGTGGATTTCACGGTCTTCCTTTTGGGCCATTCTCCACTTCCATGTTAGTTCCAGGGAGTGTATGTGTGTTGGAATAGGGAGACCCCAGGCCAATCTCGCCCCAGGCCCCCTGGCTGGGTTAGACTGGGAACCATATCCCGATATCCCGAACCCAGAAAAATCCAGGGGGTGATGGCCTGGGAGGCCTGCCTACTTTAATACACATCCATGTGGACCATAACATGCTATGTATCGCCAATATGAGCACTGACCATGAGCGCCAGCGAGCCAGCAGCTCGAGACACTGCGGGGGTCGTCCCGAAAAAAGGCCACACCGCTTCGCGACCGCTTCTCGACACGTGCATGGATGACTTCTCGACTGGTGCCGATCAGAATGACCGAGGTCTTCGGTGTTCAGTGCATCCTTCATGATGTGGCTACTGTGGACTGGAAGAGCAACTACCTCTGGTTCTGCCGCATGACACACGAACTGAGAGAAGAGGGGTGCCACAGGATGGGGGTGGGGTTCAAACTATGATCATATGTTGTAGGTAGTTGAGTGGGTGTGCGACTGTTTTTGCTGTTTGGCAAATGAAGTACTGGGCACATACCAAGGAAGCTATAGATAACGGTTAACGCTTTCAATGTGTGTGTTCTCTGTTTGTTTGTAGTGATACTTGTGCCAAGAAGTCATTGGATCCCCCTGGGAACCTGTTGTCGCCGGAGGTTTCACAGGGCGAGGTCATAATTGATGATTATGCATATATATATATAATATAGCTATAGATATAGGGAAGACCAATGACCAACATAAATACAGAGGATTAATGTAGGACAAGTTCCAAGGGACAACATGTGTTATATATGCTCGTGATACTCGCCCCATGCTTTTCAATTGATTCAGCAGCCGTAGCCGATGCTTCCCGTACCAGACACAGGAAGGTCTCAGACAACTCCAGCAATTTCCAACCGGTCTTTGTAAACAACTGAGAAGGACATCTCTCTACCCGCTTTCAGAATTTGGTTGTGGAGCACAGATTGACTTGGCCTCAAGAATCATAGTGCTAGAACGCGCGCTGGACAGCTTGTGCTGAGGTCATCAAGTGGATGTTGAAGAGGACTCCTCAGTCTTGTTGCTGGTGGATTGCTCGGTGGGTTTGTCTGTCCTGTTTGTTGTCCTGTCCCGGAAAAGACGCTGTGAAACAAATGCAACGCTATCGGCTCCCTATGGCCGAATTCAGGCTTTGTTTTGCAAGAACCAACGGCCTGAACTGATGAACATCTATGAACTCTTAGATTACTCATCTTAGATTACTATTGTTTTCAGAATTTCACTGCGTTTGTGCGAAGAGACAGTCTCAGTGATGTTTTTGTTTTGCATGTTGGTTTGCTTCGATAGATTTTCCGTTGAACAGTGTCAAAGTATGTAATTGCTTACACCACCTGCTTCCCCCAATTGATGTTTTCAGAGCAGCTTTAGCATAAGTAACTTCCAGGGCATCGGATGCAAACATTGATCCTGTTCCAATCCCATGTGTCACACATATTGAGGACGACCTGCCAGTTGGAGAGAAGGTTTTCCTTATGCAGTAGACTTCATTCCATGATTGAACTGACTGGAGATCTCCTGTCCTTACTATTGGCTGATGTCTATATTTGTGGTCCATATTTACGTCGGCATGTTTCTATGTCCTTGATTCGTATGACTGTGGGTTTTGACACCCGAAGCCGTAAACCCTGGTAGCTTGACCTCCTTGGTAGCTTGACATGAGTACTTGAGCAAATGCATTGACCCTCTTAAGATTGTGTTCTGCAGACCCAACAATGAGTGGAACAGGGTTATCATTTTGATGAGCCAGAAAAACGGCATGCGACTTACTCCGCTCTGGCGTCAGAGGCTCTGGTTGAGACCATGGGCAGGAATGAACAGCTGAAACACATTGAATCATGGTGGTGATATGACTCCCTTCCAAGCCCAGAAGAGTTATTTCATCCAGTGAATTTATCATTTGTTACTTATTGTTTGAATGTTCAGTCACTTTTCTAATTTCATTATTTTTATTTGTCAGAGTCGTTTATTTACTTATGATGTTCAACAGATGTATACACATCAATTTGTTCAATATATATATATATATTGGAATCATTGTTTATTTGTACAAAGGCTATATATGTTCATGTTTCCAATAGCATGTTTGTTATTATTGTTTCATGAAACATATTTTTCCCGACCGTCCGTACAACTGTTCATCATATTACAGTATACTATATTAGTTCATTCATCATATATAGTGATTATCTTGAACTTATTGTTTGAAGGATTAAAAGGTGACCATTCTGATGTTTCACCGACATAACATGACATGTATTAAACTCAGGGTCTAATCATTGTACTTTTTCAGCATGCTCACAAGCGGTTTCCTATGTTTCAAAACAACCTCTTATTATGGTGTGTTTTATGTTTTTTTTTTTTTTAAATAGCAACAAATTTATGATGTTCTTCATGGATTGCATTAAGCTTTTCTGTTAAAGAGAACATGCATACAACTTGTTTAGGTGGATGAATGTGCAGTGTTTGTTGTATGACTTGTATTGCCACTCATACTCTTCATATTAATAGTATGAATAAGCTGTTACATGTACAAGTATGTTTTTGGTCTAATGTAGAAATCTATTACCAACTTACATAATCACATATGGTTTCCTAGTTTCATCATATTCACTTATTATGCTTAAAACACATCATAATGTTGATGTAATCATGTTTCTAGTTCAAATAGGTCATTAAACATAAATGAACAATCTGAATAATAAACATGTGGTTCTAGTCTTCCGGCTTATACAATTTTATGGTTCTTGTAGTTATTTGAAACATTGATTTTGTTCCCTATTTGTTAATCTAGTTTTATACATAATGTATAATATAGCTTTTATGTTCATAATAGTGATTTTTTATATTTTAGATTGACATCTAAACTTGTTAATGAGTAAGTCATTAATGAGTAGTTGATTGATCAAATCTTTATTTATGTTTTTTGTTCTGGAATTTGAGTTGTTGTTCTGGAATATTTGGTGATTGTTTTCCTCGTATTTGGTCTAACTATTCTTAAACAGAAAACATTTATTTGGTGAACAACCATTTATGTATTTATCTTGGATCCTCATTGATAACAGTTTGTTTTTGAAACAAATGGGACATATATAAGAACTGTTTGTAATATCGATCTTTTCGACATTACATTCAACACAATATTCTATTAGTAGTCTATGATATGTTTGGAAGCTGTCCCTGCTTCTGCCTCAAAGTCATTCTCTTTGTGAGGAGAGTTTCCTGGCGCCGGATCAGCGGGATGAGGAGGAGTCAGCCGAAGCGTTCGCACCGCCGAAGCACCACTTCGGGTCGGAGCTGGAGCTGGGAGAAGCACCAGACCTCCTTGGGCGAAGCGTTCGCACCTGAAGCGTTTGCCCGGAATGGGACTGGAAGAATTACAAACATTTTGACGAACATGACGAACATCCATGGTGGCGTAACTCTTCCAGTCCCATGAGGATGGTTTTGGGTGTTGGTAGAAAGATGAAGACATACTCAGGTTTCTCCTGCCACGATAGACACCAAAACCAAGGTCCATGGATTTGTAAACCTTGGTGAAGGTGGAGGCTTTGTCCCAGGGTCGGGCATTGATTTGGGCGGAGAAATTGACATACCACCCGTTCTTGTTGAGACAAAACAGTCCTATCTGGTGTAAGATCAAAGCGGTCTCAAGTCATGTCCATTTCTGGATACCTTTCACCCGCATCTTTCACGGTACTGATGCAGACGATCGAAATGATCCCCAAGAAGACTATGGAGAGGTATGAGGTATTGCATCTCCAAGTTTGGGGTCGTTTACATCATTCTCTACAATCCCTATCGATCCACTGCCACCCTCTAAGAAGGTGATTGGGGACACTTAGGCTAGTAGCCTTAGAGGGTCCGATGACCTTCTGAGAAGGTGGCGGTGGATGCCTAGGGAATGGATCAATGGGCATTCGTTGCCGAATGCATCTCCCGCCTTCACGGACCCTTTCAGGAAACCAATGGCCGCATCACTCGCATGAAGAAGTGCCCAGCGTTGGGGACCGGGCGCACCGTTGGGACCGGTGATTTTAGAGTCGACCGAGGTGGTGAGTGGCTGGTGAGTGGCTGGTGACAGTCAGGCGTTCCTTCGCTAGCAGCAACAGCGTTGGATGGAGCTTGAAATCTTCGAGCGGTCTGTTAGAAGACAATAGGGCTATTGGTCAAAATCCGGAGCCCTAGTCCCTGGTAGGTTCACCTCCCACTTCGGTCAACTAAGGTATCTTGGTGTTGGCCCAGCCCAATATCCTGAAGGTTGGACCATCAAAGAAGGGATAACAGACTTAATAGGATCTACTCACACAACGGCAAGCAGTTCGCAATTCGCAAGCTGTGTCACGTGGAATACAGGTGGATCTCCTAAGCCCGGAAAGCTTGTTACCAGGAGAGCAGGACATGCTGAGGACTGAAAGACATGTCAACAAGTTAGACCCCCTCAGCTTGAACATGTTGGTATTCAGCTCCGAGTCATTCTGAAGCCGAGGATGTATATATGTGTTTTTGTTTTTGGAGATTCACATGATGTTTTGTTCTTTCTATGTCGGTGGAATTCTACTGTCACCACACCGCACCTGTTCGAGAAGGGAAGGAGTTGAACCAAAGACGTCTCTATGTCTATGTTGGACTTCTTGGGGACGAGCTACCGGTCCGCGCTCTGAAGACAGGCAGATGGATCAGTCTACTTCCCATGAAGCTCGTCGTTGTTTTTTGGGACCAGGTACATCCGACAGACGCCGGGATGCTTGGAGCGTAGAACCTGCGTGCGGAAGGGTGGCGGAATCTCTGGATGAACATCCTGGTGTGGAATCAGGTCGGGCAGGTCGGCACACCAAGTAATGCCCACAGGACACACCAAGTAATGCCCACAGGCACATCCTGGTGTGTATCCTGGGTTTTGGGGGGCGGCTCGGACGTACACTAGAAGTAATACCCCCTCCAAGGACTGAATCAAGAGCAAGTTGTGACTCATTCTAACCTACCCACGACTCCGTCCTGTCGAGTCAGATCTGTGGGACACATCGGATGGACATCTCTTTTGTCACTGCTTTCTTTGTGCTTCGATGTGGTTTTCACGCGTTTCTTCAGTTCTTTTTTTCCTCTGTTTGCCGTGTTTTCCTTTGTTTGGCTGTGGTGGTATGGTTTCTGGTGTTTCAACGGCTGTGCCAACAGTTCTCGGCCGACGCTTCGCTGAGTTGCAGACGGGAGCTGAAGACCGAATCGCTTGGGATCGGGGTGCTGTCCGGGACACCAGTGCTTTCGGGTGAACCGGACCGATCCATGGGTCCCGCGACCGGGTCACGCGACCCAGCATGTAGCGCACCACCGACACGTCTGGTGCCGGTCCTCCGTTTGGTTTGCTGGTGCCATGTCCCACAGCCTTCTGAAGTGATGTCGGACCTTGCCGAGATGGGGAAAATAATGGGAGTGCCACCCTTTGGAGCGACACGTGGGCGATCAAGAGTTTATTCAAATGGGAAGGGCGGCTCTGGGTCAAAACTGGGGCCTTTGTGGTTGACCAGAAGCCATCAGAAGCGCAGCCTGGCAGCCTGCACAGAAACGCTTTGCAGCTTACCACAGAGATTTGGGAGACAACTGTATGTGATTCGAGACACATCACTGCTGTCGAGGGTTTGTAGAAGAGGCATGCAGATATGTTTTTGACCTAGTTACCTAGGTCCTTTAGGTACATGTTTGTACATTGATAATATATGAACCAATCCAAGATCATTATTTATTCATTCTTTGATTTCTCTATATATTCATTTCGTCTAGTGACTACAGGACACACCAATCGGTTGGGACTGAGTCAAACGTGTGCTTTTTGTTTTCTGCAGGATCAAGGATTGCGATCTGCGGATTAAGGCCGGGCGTTTGTGTGAGCGGCTGAAAAAAAAACATCTTAATGGGTCTACGACCTGTCTACCTGTCTACACCTGGGAAAGTGTTTGCATATATGCTGATCGTTCCTGTTTGCTTGCTTCGAATTACTCCTTTCATTGGTCGGCCTGCAGCTGAAACTTTGGGGATCCTAGGAGACCTGTACCACGACCGGCTGTACCACGACCCGCTTGGACGTCCTCGCCTGGTGGTTTCCCCACTCCATGGTGACACACACATGATCACACATGCATGCATCTACGATCGTCAAGTCAGGCTTTTTACACTAGATCATCATATCGCAATGAAAAGACGACAGCAGCAGGAAGTGACATATGTATATATATGTATCAATGGAACTCCTGGCTATTGTTTCTATGCCAAATGGTTCATCACAAGAACCCCACCTTTGTGGAAGATGTTTGCACGCGTTGCCAGATCAATGTCTTTAGCCCTGGAATTCTACTGATTGTTTTGGGAGAACACCCTTTGCTGTTTCAGAGCCACAAGTTCCGATGTGTTGCTCTCGGTTGCTTTGCGTTTACCTTGGAGCTTCGAAAAGTAAGAACCCCAGAAGTGAATTCCCCAAGAACAACAATTGCCTTGATAAATCTGCTTGTTGTAGCGAATCCCTCATTGTTTTGCACAATTTCCTGAAATACAGCATGTGACTTTGAGGTACTTACGGTCTTCTCCAAGGCTGTGAATCTGCCCAAAAGTTCTGCTGATGTCACCTTCTATCAGATCTATGTCAATCCACAAACAGTTCATACAACAAACTTTGTCGAGTCGTGGCTTGGTAGGATACTGGTAAACTATATATATATTATATTAGGTATAGTGGTCCCCAAATAGATAGGAACGGTTTCCAATACAATTTTAGTGGGGATCTACTACTTTTCTATCTATTTTGTGGTCTGTATACCGTTATGGTTTTGTCCGGATGTGTGCTCGTGCTTCCCAAAATTCCCCGTTTGGACGGCCAGTTGTGATGTTGAGTTCCAGGTCCACGGCGGTATTTTCGTGATTGACCAGACGTCAGGGCAAGGGGAGACGCCAGGGTTGAAGTCTGGTGTTCGAACGCATCCCTGAGGATTTGCGAGTCTCCAACTCAAACTTTAGTGGTCCAAACACTAACAACTCATGTGTTCTTGATTCCCCAACTGGCGAGTTCTCAAATATAACATGAACCACACGGGGCTTTGACCATCACTGTTGACAAGGAGGCCCCAAGGCTGCTTTTGCCTCAGCTGACACAGATAAAAACACTACAACCAAAACCGCCGTCACGAAGGCCCTCTCTTCCACGATGGATGCATGGCAGACGTCGAACAAGGAGAATCTCGCATCTTGGATGTGACATGAGTGTCTCCCCAGACGGTCTTGTTGCGACCAATGATTTTGACAGTGTGTCTCTCCAAGCAAGTTGATTTAGGAGGTGATCATGCCTGAAGGCTATCTATTTGTTGTGTACGGAAAGTCAAAGGATACCGTCCAAAGGATAAAAGCCAACAATTTCTAACACTGCATGATGTATTGGTTGCTCCCCCACCTGCCAGATGAGGGTTTTTACATTTTATCAAACGTGCCACTCCTCCTCATGCTCCTCATCCGCCTCATTTGCCTCATCCGGTCAGTCGGGCACGCACGGACCCACCCACCAGAGAGAGCGCCGGATCAGTCAGGGCACGCGCGGAACTGAACACATGCCGTTCCAGATAGAATGTCAGCAGCTATGCCAGATAGAATGCCAGAGGTTTTGTCAGTGTAGATGTTGGATAGAATGCCAGGAAGAAAATAATACTGTAAGTGCTGTCCTCTTGTTGCTTGGACACAGTGCAGTTGTTTAACATGCGACAGTGGGGATCACTCGAAGTAAAGTAGTTTGTGTGTGTGCTGTTTCAGCTTGTTCTTGTTGGCAAATGTTGGCACCCATCTCCGGAAGATGCTGCTCAACCAGCAGACTTGCGAGTCGACTTGGTGCTTCTAGTTCTGGAAGTTGGCTGCACAAATTTTCGTACCCACCCAGATGCTCCTTTGAGCCCTTGGCAGGTTCCAGATGCTCCTGTACGGAGCCGTGAGACCCCATCCGATCCCTTCGGCGAAGGTCCATGAGTGTTTGGGTACCGAGCTCGTCATTCGCTCCGAGCTCTTTTTTCGCGATCGAGGCAGTGCAGATGAACGCAGTGTCAGAGGCGTTGAGCAAGGTCGATGCCAAGGTCCAGCGAGCCGAGAAAGAGAGGAGAGACCATCTGTGCGGTCCATCAACCCATACCGTGAGTGAATGGTTCATCGACGAACACGTGAAAACGTGGAACATCAAGCCCCTCCTTGGAAATCTGAAAGTGTTTTTGTTTCAATGTGTCATTTGAGTGGGAAGTCTGTCTGACTGGTGTGGAGGTCTGGCCTGAACCTGAAGTTTGCAACGTGTGTTTTTGTGTTTTGAATGTTTCTTATTTTTTGGTGTGTGTTTTGTTTGTGCGGCCATTTAGTTGAGTCATGTTGAGTTGGTACTAACAGGCCATGACGTGCAGGCCATGACGTGCAGGCCTCATCCAGCCACGACATGGATGTGTTGGACCCACGGAACCGGTGGGGGGGCGGCCGGGGAGTGGTGTTGGGTGTTCAGCACTTCCACAGGAGCTTGGTTTTCGTGGTTCAACATGTCGAATGCGTGTGTGTGTGTGTGTGTGTGTGTGTCAACTCCTGTTTCAAAGGAGCTCTGTCACACTGTTGTATAGTACAGCAGGGGGGCTCACGGGTCTGTTTGTTCTTCTGTTGGACTTGTTTTGTGCATGTCACGGCACCGATCACCGTCCAACATTTGGAGGTTGACAAGCTGATCGATGAGCGGAAGGACTACGCACGCCACTGGGCCTTGCCGAGTCCGAGTTCGACGCTGGGGCCTGGCAGATGCAACTCATCAGGTCCAACTGACTGGGTCACGATGAAGCCACATGTGGGGGAAGACATGGAAAGACCCTACTCCAACAAACATGGAAGTGGACCACTACTTCCATGATTGTTGGGATATTCCTCAGGTAAATTGAGGAACATATGATTAATCTGAATGTGCATGAACTCAATGAGAGAGATACCAAGAGATGTGTAGCATTGTGTCTCTAAGCCACAACTGACGACATTCCATACAGTTCACCAAACATCACATGTGAACGATGTGTTTGCCCCTTTACCAGTCACAACTTGCATTGCCCTTAACCTACTCTTAACTGCTGTTGTGATGCTTCATCGGCACTGGCTGAGGCTGTGACACACCTGTGTCAAAGCTCGCCGGAAAAGCAGCAGGCACTCCTCATGTGGCAGGGTGTGTGATGTTTCTCTTGCAAGACATGCTTCCACCTGTTTCTTTTTTCAACATATGCTCAACATGTTTGATTATTCGATACATGTCTTGTAAAAAAAAATAGAGTATGATTATAGTGGCTGAGGGGTGGCCACGTCATCCATATTACTGGGTCTTCGAGATCTTCAATGATACAAGCTTGGCAGACGTCATATCGACCCCTTCAACGCCCATGTCACGTCGCGTCCTTCGGTCCTCCGTCGCCGGGGAGGTCAGCGAGAGAAGACCGAAGAGGAGGTCCTGACCGCTGCACGAGGCGCGAGAGAGGACCGAGGTCTTAAAGCCCGGTGTGTCAGGGTCCGGCAAGGAAGTAGGCAAGTGGCCTCATGAATTCGAGGGGCACCTGCATTGGTTGTTCCATGCTTGAAAAAGTGACATGGTGAAAACTGTTGTGTATGTGATGAGATGGGCATCACAGTGGGCATCACTTGTTCCACAAGAGTTCTTTCCATAGACTCATGGATCATTGTAATGACGGCATTAACCTGTTTTTGAGAGATGCCTCTTGAGGTGCCTGTGACCCATGAGAATCTCGCAGCATATCCCTGCTGCCGCGCTTGGACGAACATCGTGCTCAGAGCAACCCAACCACCGTCGAGACATGTCGAGATATTGGCCTCCAATTGTCCGTGGTATTCACGAATTACATAATGGGGAACTGAGATGAACTGAGACTGCTTTGGTAGGGGAAGGAAGAGCTACGAGGTCTGCAGTGGACCACTCTAGAATAAGCCAATTCACAGTATTCAAGACCATCCAGTAGTTGTTGGGATAGTCTTCAATAGCATCATGCTTGCACCTTTTTGTTTCCCTTACACAATGGTACGATTTCAATTTCAATCACAGTGGATTGACAGTAGGCACTGGCACCCCAGTTGATGTCTTTGACAACTAGGGGTCCACTACTAAACCACCAAACTCACCGACCTTGGGGGATTGTGCCATCTCAACCCGCTATAGGAAGGTGAATCCATGGATCATACCAAAGAATGACCTGCTATAGGCATGTAGCCCTTGTGGTTTTTAGGATGTGTTTCGAAACCGCTCTGTTTCGAATGCGGGACATCGCCCTCGTTGCTGCTCTGCTCGCCCAAAAAAACGGCGACACTCTCCAAACGGGGCGGAGGCGGCGGCTCGAAGGAACCGGTGCAGGACCGGCATGGTTTTTGTTCGATGAACACCACGGCAAGATGATGCAACCCCTAAAAGAAGTAGTTATCCAAGAAGTCCGTTGGAAGAAGGGAGGGCAGAAAATCAGATTGTTGATTCTTCACGGGGTTCTTCTTTTTTGGATGGAGGCGCCTGGTTGGCATGCTGTCTCCGGATTTGGTGAAGTGGGAATTGCGTTGGAGATCCTTAACTCTTATCCCTGAGACTAATTAATCAAACCAAAAGGGACCAACATGTTCAAAGTGACCCTGTTTTGAGCTAAATTGGATCTCAAATGGTCAAAACGCTACCCCACAGCTAAATCGAGGGAGCGTGAATTGTGTCAAGCCCGCCAAAAGCATTTGGTATTGAGGAGTAGGAGTAGGAGTAGGAGTAGGAGTAGTAGCTAGCAGTAGCAGTAGTAGTAGTCGTCGTAGTGGGAGTGGGAGTGGCAGTGGCAGTGGCAGTGGCAGTAGCAGTAGCAGTAGCAGTCGTGGTGGTGGTGGTGGTAGTAGTAGTAGTAGTAGTAGTAGAAAAAAGAGCAAGCTAGAATATGCTTTTCTGGTGCTCCAAGTTTGCTTATTGATCCCACCCCCTAAACAATTCCTATTCTTAGCTTCCCCTCGGCCTGTGCACTACCCTCTTGAAAAACTGTTTGGAACAATGAAACCGACGAGTTCTAATAAAGGTTTCTGACAATGGTTATATAAGATTTCCATGAATCAAGCAAACCTCAGAAGAGTTACACAAGGATCCTAAAAGGCAGCAATAGGAGTACAACAGAAAAGTAGGCTTGGATATTTGTCCTAGGGCCAAGAAACTTGATTACTCCCGCCCACTACGCTATTCACTGTGTGGGAACAATTTGCACAAACTTTGACTATTTAGGATTGAACATTAACATAACAGTATTGCTTGAAATCATCAAGATTTGATTATTGGATTCCTTCTCTACGTTTGGTGATGGGCGGCAAGTACAACTGGCACAGTTCCATTATGTTCCATGCCCGTACACATGAGAGGTGCAATTGTGTGTGTGTTTCCATAATATGCACCAAGTCTCCCTTGCACTTTCAGCTGCACCAAGTCCCACCGGCTCCGTCGTTTCGGAGATGAAGCGATCGGATCGTGCTCTTTGCAGCGGCACATGACGATGTGTATTAGAATAGGGGCACCTCCCGATCGATTTGTCGTCAGTTGCTCATTTTCCCAGAGGTCTTGGGGATGTCTCCCAATATTTATTTCTACTCACCCATGTGATTTGATGAATCTGATGTGGACAGTTTGGGGTGGAGCTCGGACACTTGGAGACATGAGTGAAGCATAAGACTGATGTGGCCAGTGGCTGGAGACCGGCCGATCAGGACCCAGCTGATACCTTGAGGCACGGCGGCGGGAGAAATGAACACTCTGGCGGTGGAGTCAGAACCGATTGCTGAGCTGACAAAGTCCATACCTTTGCTGCTTTGTTTGACTCATGAATAGGCACGAACTACTTTGAGGCAAGTTCGGGTGAGAACTAGCAGCTACACCAGCAGCAACTGCCTGTCAGACGGTAATAACTCGATGGCGCCGCTTCTCTTCCTTCCGCGCGCTGTTTTGCGCCAGCCCAGGCCACCACCCACTGATACGATGCCTCACGAAGAGCCGTCGAAGAGCCCCAAGGCGGGTGCTGGTGCCCTGTTTGTGCGTCGTTTTGCAAGACACTGGCACTCAAGAGAATAGTTTGGAGCAATCCTGCACCCAGCTGTTGTGTAGGCTGCATTGGTTAGATTTGGTTAGAGCAAAACGATCTCTTCTTGTCATGTTGACCTTGTAGGGTGGACTAGGGTGGACCAGGGTTCAATGATGCTTGATGTTCCCTTATGACACCTTCTTTTGCATGTACCGATTCTGGCTGCGCTCAAAAAAGCCCTGCTCAAAACAACATAGATAGACGTACACTTTTGAGGTTGGAGATGTGTTGTTGAGTCTCCGTTTAGAAGCGGGCCCACAGCAGAATATGGTGATACAGCAAGGCAGCCCTTAAGTTGGTGCTAGGTTTCGCCATATTATGCAAATCCAATCCGCGGCGGAGGGTCAAGCTCGGACCCTCGGTTTTCGGTGGTCTCAAACCCAGAAAGTTGAACCGCCAATCCGGGCGACAGATCATTGGTAACCTTGGAGGCATTGGAGGGGTGATCATATTCGGCTCCTTTCCCTAAAATTAACAAACAATTACATGGCAGGGCATAATTCCATCACGTCCCTTCTTCATCGCGTCCAGCCTAAATCAGGTATGGATTCCATGCGCCAGTACCCATCAGCGCACTTCTTGCCAGTGGTTCTTCCATCAGCAAAAATGGTACCTGGACAGTACCCATCAGCCTGAACCAGTACCCATTGGTTCTTGCAGCGTTGGTTATTCCATTTCAATCCTCAGGCGTTGTCCGGGTCATTGACCCCCACCAACTGACTCATCCTGCGACCTGATCAGTCCATTGACTCCACATCAGGAGCCGTCGCCGCCGCGGGGGAGACCACCGCGCGACAGCCTCTTCGACGTTGGCGTTGGAGGCCGGCGATGTGTTCTTTCTCCTGTCACGGTGAGGTCTCAAACATGTAAGGAGACACAGGAAGAGCCAAAGGCCGAGGTACATGGAACACGGGGAGGCCATCAAGATTGGAGGAGCAGAAGGTCTTTGGGGAGAACTTTCCGACATGCCGACATGGTCCAAGACGAGTGAGAAAGGCTTCACTCGTACGGCCATCTTCCGACAGTGGGCAGGTTCAGGTTGCTGTTCTACTCCAGGGGTGCATGGCCCATTGAATCCATGGTTTGGACCCTATTTGGGATGGTCTTCCAAGTTTGTGTTCCTATTCTTTGCCAACAAATGAATCATGATGGAGTCCATGCATATCCTAGCCAGATGCCAAATATTGCCAAATATGGAAGGGTAGTGAAGGGCAGTTGTTTTGGCGGAAGAAGGTCGAGTCTTTTCAACCACATCCAAGACCACAGACAGAGTACACGCATAGATTAAGGATGGTTAGCCTGGTGAGACTGGTATTGACCCACAGCTAGTATCACATATATCAGCAGACAGCAGGGCATTGTAATCATTCGAATATGTGAATCACTAGCACGTGTCAAAGCAAAGAATCATCGCCCTATCGATCCCTATCGTCATTTATCGAAAGGCTTCCAGAAACTACCTGTAGTCGGGAATGTTTGTAGGCCACCTCTCAAGAGTCTCGCAAAAGCCTTCGGAATCGTCCTCGCAGACATCGACGCATTGAAGGAGGCGCGGGAGGGGGCAAATGGCGAACGAATGCCGGGCCCGTTCGCGGGCACCTGCCTTGTGGTGCCGCTGAGTTCAGTGCAGGGTTCATGGTGGAGTTGTTTTTTGATAATTAGGGATGTTTGGATTGATGCCCGCAGTTGGTGAAGGAGGAAAGTCCAGGCCCAATCATTGGAGTATTTAATCATACATACTTTTACAAACTGGGGACCCCCACTCCGAACTTCCACTAATTAAACAATTCCAAGAGTTGCTGTACAAAAGAAAGTAAGTCTTTGGTAAGTGTCTTATAATGTTTGTTGAAAAAGATGAAGGGAGACCAGCTATATTCAGTTTGTAGTTATTTGGGAGAGTGTTTAAGCTATAGTTTTGTTGTTTAAAGTTAATTGCTTGCCAGGCTTGCTTTATCTATATTTTCGCATGGTCACGGGCGTACTCTTCGCCTACCATTAACTGGAGGTCACAATTGAGGTTCCGGATATTATTTGTTCATTTCTTTCCTCATGTGTTGTATCTTGACATCTATGAGTTGTGTGTTGCTTACTGCGATGTTTACTGTAAGCCATTTGGTGGCATTGTGCGATTGAGAATGGACACACCCAGGTCAGTAGGTCATTGCGAAGGCCCGGCAAAATTTTGGCAGTCCAGCATGACCTTTCCCAATCCCAAACACCAGCTTGCCAGCAGTTGGTCTCTCTCCAACCAACACAGACTTAGACAAAAAAGACAACAACACAAGTTGGTCGGTTTAAAAACCTCCGTGCGGGAGAGAACTGTCGATCCATCCTGCGGCCCTCGCCCTGACACTGCGGAGCTCCACTCGCCTTCGCATCGCGGTCAACCAATCCGATTGGTCGACAAATCTGCCTCCAGGAAGTGGGCTCGATCAAGGGCAGTCTCAAGGAGAGCAGTTGTTGGGTGCCGATCTGAGGTTGGCCTGCCTTCATGTGGTGCTTGAAACATGTGTTTATGGAGGATCCGTTCCAATTACGGAACTTGCATCCACAGGGCCGCTGTTGGGGTGGAAAGACACTCTAGTCAGCCATTTGGTCAGACCAATCCGGCTAAGTCAAAGAGTTCCCAACGTTGACGAGATGGTGTCAAATGGCATGAAGTCTAGCTACAGGTGTAAGCCTCCCCAAGGGTCATGATGTCCCTCAGGGCCTTGAAACATTTGATGTGGAGAATCTGTGAAGTCTTGAGTCATCACAAGGACCTTCTGTGACCCAAAAATAGACCACTTGATGACCTTCATGAAGATCTCAATTGGTCGTTTGAGAATCTTTGAATCAGAATGCTGCAGACGGGTGTGGGTGCTGGGTGGTACAGAGTTGTTTTTTCAAAACCTTCAGGTTTTGGGGTCTTTCCTCCAATTGGAGGGCTGCAGAGTTGGACGATGGAGTGGACAGAGTCAGTGGGCTGCCCCTTTCAGAGCAGACCTGAAGGGAGTACTACAGTAGATACACGAAAAAACTCCGAGATCAGACGAAGATGGGACTGGAATAGTTACGACCACATGGCATACCAACGCTTTCCCATGAAACTGACTGACCCATCCCCATGTGGTCGTAACTCTTCCAGTCCCAGACGACGTTTGGTCTGGAAATAGGGTCCCAAACCCGTGAGTCATTCCATCACAGGGTGTACAAGGCGGCTTTGATGCTTTGAATAACTTCTTTGCAAAAGTTCTATTTTGCCAAAGATCGCGATTCTTGATCCGAACGATTCGCCGGTGTCAGCTCGTTTTTTCGCTAAATATTGAGATGGGTTGGGTCTGAGTGGTTTGGACTCTCCCTGGATTTGGTTGGGTGTTCTCTTGTTTGGTTGAAGTTCAATTGTGTAGGATTGTATAGGGGTGTTTGAATCTGAAGCAATTCTTGTTCTGAGCAACAGTTCAACAAGAAGTACTTCAGATTCTTCAGATATGTTCCTTACCTTCACGATAGGTTCTTGGACAAGTATCATCACATCGCCCAGGAGCTGAAGGATGCGGTTGGGAAGCCAACCCATGCTGTGAAAGTGAGGGCAGAAAGGGGGATGTTCAACATGAGGTTCCCAAAAAGCCGTGGTATGGCTATCCAAGGACCAATCCATACAATATAGTATATATATAAAATATGTATATATTGTATAATCCCCCTTGGGCTTATAGAATGGGAGAGGTCGAGCTCCAAAATGACCTAGCATTTTATAGAGAATTTCTATAGAATCAAAAGTCAACCTACCTGAAAAAGATCCATTCTGAGGATATCTGAGGTGAGAGAATCATATGTTGATGGATCACTAGGTTGACCACCCTCATTTTATAGAGAATATCTGAAAATTGAGGGCATTTTATAGAGGACAAAGGTGTTGATTCTATAGAGAGAACCTGGAGCAGTAGAAGGTTGAGAGTTTATTTTAGCGTGGATGGATGTTTTACAGTGAGGTAGGTTGGATTCTCATTCTATAGAAAGCACTTGAATTTGTGGAGTCTTGAGTTTTGAGTTTATAGTCTCAGAACCTTCGAAAAGTAGAAGGTTGAGAGTTTATTTTAGAGTGGATGGATGTTTTACAGTGAGGTAGGTTGGATTCTGATTCTATAGAAAGCACTTGAATTTGTAGAGGCTTGATTTTTGAGTTTTGAGTTTGTAGTCTCAACCAAGCTCTTTTCAAGCCAGACGTGGTAAATTACCTTTCAGGTGGGGAAAGATCCTGAGGAACATTCTAGAAACCAATGCCACTTGGAGAACTTCTTCCTTGGAATTGACAGAGACTCACAGCACCCAGGCCACTATAAAATGAAAAACCAATCTTTTTTGGAGCCAGAGCTGGTCAAGCACCTTTCTGGTGGGGAATGCCCCTAGGGAACATTCTAGAAGCCCCTGCCACTGGGAGAACTTCTTCCTTGGAATTGACAGAAACTGTTCAATGTGGCTTCTTGTGGTGTTCCACAGCACCCAGGACCACTATAAAACGAAAATCCAAGCTCTTTTCAAGCCAAGGGTGGTAAAGTGCCTTTCAGGTGTGGACATACCCTGAGGAACATCCTAGAAACCAATGCCACTTGGAGACCCCTTCCTTGGAATTGATGAAACTATTCAAGGTGGCTTCTTGTAGTGGCCACCTGTGCCAGGCCCACAGCACCCAGGCCACTATAAAA